CTCCGACATCAGCCAAGATGGTAAATACTTCTACGCCACTCTTACCACAGCCAACCACATTGCTGCGCTAGATATCAGCGACCTCAACAACATCAAGCGTCTGGATGACCCCGATGAGGACCAGCCTACCGTCGGACCTCACTATCTCAAGGTCACCCCCGACCAGAAGCACTTGGTCGTCACCGACTACTTCGTCCAGACTGGCGACATTGGTATCATCAACGCCCCGGCTGACTTCAAGGCGCTCTACATCGACCTCCAGAAGGACGGCAGCCTTTCTTTCAACCGCTCTATTGACTTCCCCAAGGAGTTTGCCAATCGCGGCGGTGCTAAGCCTCACTCTAGTGTGATATTTGATCTCACTGACCCCGAGAACCCTCTCTACTACTAGGTGATCTCCATTCGTAACTTAGTAGCAGGAGGCAGGACACCGTCAATGTGGAATGGGAGATGATGAGGATGGGAATATAATTGTTTACTCTTCTGGGCCTGAGATGTGCCTTCGGGCCATACATTTTACTGTGGATATACTACGGCTAATTCTTAGTTACTACCAATGGGCATCCACTGTATTTACTTTGATGAGTTGAAGGAATTTAATCTTGTAAGGTCAATTGTCTGGGTATCAAAGGTCCCCGAGAGATTAGAGCAAACCAACAAATAGAAGCCCGATTAGAGCTCTAGTGTCTAAACCTCACGCACATTTGATGTGGGAGATACCTTTGAGCTTCCATCTATCGGATGGTGGCCTTCAATCTCATCTGCAGACGCCTTCGAGCTTCTCTCTATCCGATTTTGACCTTCAATCTGATCTGCGAACACTGATGGACCAGCCCGTTTATTCGCAACGATATCTTCTTGCAACACAGCGCGGAATTCCTCGCGCTTTGGTAGGAGGTACCGCACATCGACAAATCTCAAAATGCTAGTCATAATAATCACAAGAACCAACAAGGCCAATGCAGACTGCCATCCATATTTATAAAATGGTGCTTGACTCGCAGGCCAAACGAGAACCTGCGACCATGAAGAGATAGCATAGTACCCAGCGACAGCAACTCCGACAACAAGAGACCGTACCTCTGGATCCTGCGGGATAAGATCAGAGAGCCAGGCGAAGATCAACGGCGCTGTGCCGAGACAAATATACGAGATGAAGTATGATGCATAAGCAGCAGATAAAGCCACCGACGCCGGGTGTGTAGTCCAAATGCTCATGATGATGCATGGGATGATCCCGATAGCCGCTTGAAGAACGATGAGTGTCCAACGGGTTTCAAAGTAATCCGATAACAGAGCCCAGATCCACACGAAAACGACGTTGATCGCAGATCCTCCAATGGGGATAACGTTGACCTGCGAGATAGTCCATCTCGCGCTTCCGTCTGGGTTCTTTAGCGATTTTAGGAACAGCCCGAAATAAACATATCCGTATGTTCCAAGAACCGTTGCAATATACAGGGCTGCAATGAAGTAAACAACCCATCCCGAGAACGTGCGCTTCACGCCAGCCCAGGTCATCTTCTTTGGCTCGGCGCGACCATTACGCGCGAGACGTTCTAGTGATAGCTCGCCGTGGACTTTGTTGAACCAGAACGCGCGCGGGTTAGGTTTGTTTGGTAGGTCGGGCAGCATGAAGAATCCTGCGAATCCCCAGATTACTGTGATGATGGCGTTGATCACGAATAGCCAGCGCCATCCTGCTAGTCCGCTGTGTCCGTCGAGGGTGTCGGTGATTGCGGCTTGCATGGCGCCCGAGAGCATTTGGCCGACTGCTTGGCAGGAGTGATAGAATCCCATTCGCTTGGCGAGCTCGGTTGGGGTATACCAGTACACTAGAGGGTTGGTTAATTTGGGGAGTCAAGAGAAAGGCTTTCGAATGACATACTGAATAATGTCATCATTCCTGGCCAAGCGCTACTTTCGCATAGACCGAGGAACACACGGATAACGTAGACTTGTTTTGCGCTCGTCGTCATCGCGATCAATCCCGTCAGAACACCCCATGCAATCTCCAGACCCGGAAGCCAATAACTGGGGCGGATGTAGGTGAGGATAATTTGGGAGGGAATTAGCATTATGCAATAGGCGGCATTAAAATATGTTGTGAATCTAGACAGTATTAGCTATCATCAACTCTGTGGCATGGAAATGTTTCTGATAACTCACAAATTAAGCTCATTTCCGAACAAGTTTAAATCTTCCTTCATGCCAGATACGTAGGCATTATTGATATTCTGTTGATCGAGATATTTGATAACTGACAAAGGTCAGTTTTGCTGATCTTAGGCTGTAAGGGAAATCTGCAGCGCAACACACCTTGTGAAAGACAGCCGAAAGTCATTAGGAACATGTCAAGACGCCGGACCAAGGCCTTCTCTTCCGGAGATCTGATATCGACATCTGTCGACACATTACGTCGAAATTGTTTGAAGGACACCATGGTTAGAGTGGCAGGACAGGGAGGAGAGAAAAAGCCAACATTCTAGCGACCTTGGCCATTCATATACAGGCGCATGTAGGCCCAAGCCGTGATAAGGCCCCTGTGACCCCTCAGTCCGGGGTAGATTTCGGATTGTAGATCCGACAAGGATATTTCTGCAAGGTGCACGCGTGATAAGCATTTAAAGCACCAATGGTTGTATCCCTCCATTGGGGTAACATCGGAGGAATGCCCGAGTTGTTGAGATATCAGATACCATCCATCTTGGCATTTGAGCCAACTCCACTCACATACACCCCGAGGTTAGCTTAATGAGTGGATCTGGAGATAAGTCGACGGGATCCTATCAGCTACTTAGGTAGAAGAGGTTAAGGGAGGGGGAGGGGAAAATCCCTTTGAGTTGAAGGATTTGAGGGGGAAGTCCGCGATAGGAGATTCTTGGGCTTTCCCCGCATCCCTACGTTGGCAACGGTGAATACGAGACTGTCTCCTTATCCGACTTATATATATATATATATTTATATTTATGAGGATTGGCGGAAACCTTGACGAATTCCAAATCCTTTGAAATGTTAACTTCAAATATTGAAACAAGCAGAAGCTTGCCAAATCCCACCCCTTGTTTGAGTTACTGGCAGCGAACAACTCGGGCAAATCCAAACTTGCATGCCAACATCGAAACAGCGGTCCCATCGAACTCCAAATATGTTGTTGTCGGATCCGGTATTTCTGGTGGTTTGACAGCCTTCAAGCTAATTGAAGGAGGGGCCAAAGCCGAGGATATCGTGATTCTCGAGGCACGAGAGGCAGCAAGTGGTGCGAGTTCACGAAATGCAGGACATGTGCGACCAGGTCTGTTTGACTTCTATTGGAAATATTGTAAGCGTTTCTGATCTGGAACATAGACGCCTTCAGGGGTTTCAGTGCATACGCCAAAGTGCATGGAGCGCAACAAGCATTAAAGATTATCCAGGATGAGCGACTTGTCCTAGAAAGAGTCGATGAATTTGTCAAAGAACATAATGTGGAATGCGACTTCAACTTGACAACGACATTTGATGTTTGCATAACCCCAGAATTTGCAGCTTACGAGGCAGAGAGCCTTGAAGCGTTTAAGAAAGCAGGCGGCGATACTTCCCATATCACATTCTATGAAGGAGACCAGGCCAAAGAGAAAACTAGAGTCCCAGGGGCTGTGGCAGCATATGAGTGGCCAGCAGGATCGAGTCACCCAGCAAAGCTTGCACAATTCCTGCTTCAGGCAGTGACATCGAAGGGTGCGATGCTCTTCACATTTTGTCCTGCCACTCAAATTGAACGGAGTGGTGCGTCTCCAGAAACCTGGAAGGTGCACACTCCCCGGGGAATAATAGAAGCGGAGAAAATTATCCATTGCACGAATGCCCATGCTGCCTTGTTACTACCACAGTTGGAGGCTTATATTCGGCCAAACCGTGCACAGGCTCATTCTCTCGTACCAGTTCCAGCTTTCTCGGGACAAAAAGCCCTGCAGAGCACTTTCTCACTCCGCTTCAGCCTCCTGCACTTCTACTCTCTGATTCAACGCAAGGGAGATGGTACATTGGTGTTAGGCGTATCGCGGTCAAACCCAACATTGAGCCCTGAGACATCGGCTAGTCGATTCAGCACTGACGATTCCCGGTATAACGAAGAGATTGCTCAGGACGCTCTGCAGACCTTTGGTGACATTTTACCTGCTTATTCGTCCCACACGGCAATGCACGGTGAGGGTCTGGATCACGCTTGGACTGGAATAATTGCCATGACTACGGACTCTGTTCCGTTCGTCGGGGCGATTGATTCTCTACCTGGACAGTATATTTGTGCTGGATTTAATGGCCATGGTGAGTTTTTTTCTTTCTTTTGCTCGACTACATCCTGAACGAGGACGTGCTGAGTCCTGACTGGCAATAGGTATGGCCCGCATATTTACATGCGCCCCGGCTGTCGCTCAACTTGTACTTGGCAAGACCTGGGATGAGACAGGGCTTCCAGATTGTTTCCAATTCAGTGACGAAAGGCTCTCCCGGCTTTCAAATGGAGATGTGCCTTCCATTTGGTAGGGAAGTCCATACTACCGAGGGACAATCTTGAAATATGGGTTATAAGGAGATTGCTACTCTCCAGTGCATGATTGGCGCTTTAGCTTCACGGTATTGATTGATTGATTGGAATCTTATGGATATTAATAGAATAACCACTTGTGCGATGTTTGCCATACATGGGATGGTGCTCCAACAAAGCTTTATAAACATTAACTTTATACCTAGGTAACTTCAAACCGACCGTTCTCTCTCTTAACCAGTCTTTTGAGTTGCTTTAGAAGCTTATAAGATAAATGTTTCTATATAGCTTTATTAGACAATAGTTGGAATACCCGAAAAACCAGAGAAAGATGTATTAATTATGCAGCTACAATAAATTGGCATCTTTGTACTGTTTTGGGCCCATTATGGGCCCGAATGGGCTTTGCGGGCATCCTCCCCAGCCTTCTTCCGTCTTTAGCACACCTTTCTAACCCACCACCCTTGCTACCATGTCCCCGGACAAGGAGAAGTTAGAAAAATTCCTTCAGGCGAACAAGTCTGTCAAGTACATCCGCCTCCAATGGATCGACTACTCTGGTGTGCCGCGGGCGCGCTTCGTCCCCATCGCTCGTTCCCTCCGAATCGCCAGTGGCGAAACCATCTGCCTCGCCCAGAACAGTATGCTTATACCCATTTCCACTGTCTCCCTCAGCGACTGCCACGAGACATGGTTCCTACGCCCCGACTGGTCCTCTTTGCGTCTTTGCGGCTTTAAGGCCAACCATGCGACCGCTATGAGCTTCGTCGACCAAAAGGATGCGGAGACGAGGTTTAACAAGTGTCCGCGTATGCTGCTAGTCCAGGCTCTCGAACGACTTGGGACGCAATGGGGTGCAAAGGTCCTGATAGGCTTCGAGATCGAGTTCGTGCTACTTGACGAATCAGACAACGTTACTGAACCATTAGATCGACTAAATGGCGACTCAACAACTGCTGGATTGCGCGGAGAAACATTGAACCTGATGGAAGAGATTGTTGATGCCCTCGAGCAGTCCTCTATCAACATTCACCACTTCCACGCAGAAGTCCTTGATCAGTTGGAGATTGCTCTTACCCCCGAGCCAGCACTAGAAGCCGTTGATTCTCTTATTCTAGCCCAAGAAGCTATTCGTACGATATGGGTGCGTCGAAATCTCAGGGCGACCATGACACCGAAACCGACATTGTCTGGACCGTCAAACGGCCTACACCTCCATCTTTCCCTCAATAATCTCGAAGGAGGGTCGACAGACAACTTTATTGGTATCCTCAACCACATCTCCTCGCTTTGTGCCTTTGGAATGGCAAACTACGATAGCTACGTCCGCTCTACTAGCGATGCTGCAGGGGCATGGGTTGGATTTGGTACCGATAACCGCGACTTACCGGTGTGAAAGATCAGCGACCAGCATTGGGAGTTCCGCATGATGGACGGCACCGCAAATCCATACTTGTTCGTTGCCGCCATTTTGCTTGCTGCTTTGGATGGACTTAGCAAGAAAACAGAGTTAGTATGGAAGGATTGTAAGATATTCCCAGACCTATTGGATGAGAAAATGCGGGTCGAGTATGGCATGGATAAGAGTATGCCAGTCACGTTCAAAGAGGCGTTGGATTATTTGAAGAACGATGCCGATATGAGGACTTGGATTGGAAAGGACTTACTGAAGTGGTTTATTTCCGTCAAGGATAAAGAGGTCGAGGAGTTTGCGAAGATGGATGACGAGCAGAGGCGGCTTTGCTTCCTAGAATATTTTTGAAGTATGTTTCGAGATAACAAATGCACCATTTGGCTCATTTAGCTACTTCCTCCCTGGTGGATTTCTACTGGGATGGTATAAATTGCACTCAGTCTACTTCTATCAACGAAGTATAAACCGGAAAGCATAATAAAGCTGGCAACTTCCCCTTACTGCACTCTCGCTTCTCCCACGTGCGAGCGAAGGTATGATTATTGTGTGAGAGAAGGATGAGAATTGCAACGATGGACAAGACACCGAGGGTGTGGAGATTGACTTTTATACTAGGAATTGAGAAATGATTAAGTCAAGCAATAGCCTCTTTTAAAAATATCGAGTATAAATGATAGAATATAAACCCTTGAGCCAATATGCAACAATGCACTCCGTAAAGTGATGACTATGAAAATCTTCGTCTAGTGCACTACAGGGATGTTCGGGAATCAAAACAAAGCTTAGTAATGCGTTTCCAAATTCGAACTTACCCCTTACATTTCGCACTTTTCCAATAAAGTGTTCTAGATCTTCATTAACTTATAAAACATTGAGTTGGAAGAAGTATCCCAATATCCCAACCTTGGAAGCTCATGCATGGATATCCACAGAGTGGGGCACCGGACCGTCCCGCCAAGGGAAACCCACCTGTGCAAGATACAGTTCACTCCTTGAAACCATATTTGTTCGAATTTGTTCTCCTACACGACGAAACTTGAACGAAACCCACCTGTCCCCATGCTTGGCTTACAGCTTGGGAGTCGCGTGACAAAGCGCACATTCATTTCGCTGCGCACTAAACCTCTCCACCTCCCTCCTACAGATCCTACCTTTGCCATACCCTCCCACGCGGTCGTCGACGAAGAAAGATGGCCGAACTACAAACCCAAAGACTATTACACTGCAAGACCAGGCGAGACACTTGCCAACAACTACCAGTTACTAGCAAAGGTCGGCTGGGGCACGAGTTCGACCGTATGGCTAGCGCGAGATATTAGAAGGCACGTTTTGTTTCTGGGCCAATTCTGTCCGAGGCTAATTGGAGCCTTTGAGTCACTAGGTACCGATGGCAGTCTGAGAAAATAGTTGTCTTGAAGATTTTGAATAGTCGTTGTGCTCAATCAGCGAGTAATCTTCTTGAGATCGAGCAAACGGTTGCACGAAAGAATCCTTCACATCAAGGGTATGGAATTACGCGCCACTGTCTGGAAAGCTTTGAGCTCAAAAGCTCAGATAAGACACACCTTTGTCTTGTATATGAGGCACTGCGGGAGCCAATGACAGTGTTTCAGAAACGTTTCGAGAGCCGAAGAATGCCTCTTCCGGTTGCAAAAGCGTATATTCATTTGCTTCTTCTCGGGCTGCAGTATCTGCATACTGAGTGCAGACTCGTTCATACTGGCAAGTAATACTCGTTGAATCCCAGTGAATTTCTGAATAAGGCATTTACTAATCAGGGAATTCACTCCAGACCTGAAGCTCGCAAATATACTGATGACCTTTGAGAATGGGAAGGCTATCCCTAGGTTCATTCAAGACCAAGTCCTCAAGTTCCCAATGCACTACAAGACTAGTCCAGAAGCCAACCACACCACCTACCAAAGTTACGATAGTTTTGGGACAATGGACGTCGAGGATGTCGGAAATGTCCTCCCTAAAATAACCGATTTCGGCTCGGCATGGCAGCTCGTCGTTGATCCAGAAACGAAGTCACAAAACGAACCTGTTTTTATTTATCCTATACAACCAAACTACTACCGCGCACCGGAAGTTGTCCTTGGATATGGTTGGGATTTCAGTGCAGATATATGGAACTTTGGTGTGCTTGTAAGAAGCTCGAGTATAAATGCCTATACATTCTATCAAGACTAACACATTTCTTTCGAAGGTTTGGAACATTATCGAAGGCACCGAGCTATTCACTCAGGTGGAAGATGCTAATGGGAGATACGATCCCAAATCACATCTGGCGGAAATTATTGCTCTGCTTGGTCCACCACCTAAGGAGGTAATTGAGCGAGCAGACTATATGTCACAGGTTGAATATGCTTCTACGGTTAGTATTGAGGTCGGAAAGCCGTGCAAGAATGCCCGGGAGGTCTTTGGCGGTCCCTACTTCGATAAAGAAGGTGAGTCTTTTATTCTAAGTTCCAGCATGTGTGCTATTTTAGCTGATTGTTGGTGGTAGGGAAATTCCTTCATCAGGAACTAATACCAAATCGGAAGCTGGAGGATACTATCCCATCTATTGATGACTCGGAAAGGGAGCTTTTCTTGTCATTTGCCAGGGATATGCTTACCTGGGTTCCATCGGAAAGGAAAACTGCTCGTGAGCTTACGGAGCATCCGTTCCTCAATTTTGGTGGGCATGTTTCTAAAGATGTCTTGGAAGGGCGCTCTTAGAATATGAGCTGTTTGATCTAGACTGTTTACGAGTTTGTCTAATAGCGAGAAAAACGCTTTCCACTATGTATAAAATCTCCACTACGTACGAATGTATTAAAGGAAGGATGTTATTGTGGGGTTTGAATATAGCTTCTTGAATTCTTTCTTAATAAAGTAAGAGATCTGTGCCTCCTGCCGTATAAGAACAAATGTTCGCTTTTCTTCCTATTGCTCCCCTCTTTGTATGTTGTAGGGGATGAGTAGTTCTCTGTCAAGTGCAGTAGAACAACAGTCTCCACCCCACCGCGCTTTTTTTTTCTTTTTTTTTTTTTCTGGAAATACCAAGCCACCCCCGTAAGCGTACAACAAAATTTCATTTCACCTAGTGACAAAGCCCCGTGCCAAACCGATCTTCTATGACATTTTTCAGGCCTCGGACCATCCTTTTCCACACTCGTACCTTGTAGGATAGTTCTCCATAATACTCAATAGAAGCTGTGCTAGGCTTCTCAGCACGGAGTATCTTTCTCCAACCTTCACGATAGCTTCTCATTAATTGTCATTAGAAGTGGGTTCTACAAGGTCGACATAGAGGCTCCAAAGTTGGATATGTGGTTCCTAACCCTAGTTGATTGTTTAGCTAGACCCCACTGGTTAATATTATTCAAGGAGTAAACCAGCAGTACGGAGTACTTAGCGTATACAACGTTACATTGACTATCACTAGCCTTTTGGCCAGCTTTGCCGAGGTAACTATTAGGTAGAGTAAATCAATTCACAACAAATGGTATTGTCTATATGGTTGGCCGGCCACGTCGTTAGATACTGATCTATTATTGTTAATGCGGCCAGCGATAGCTTCAGTCTAAGGACCTAAGTCCAATTGTGCCCCTACTTGAAGGGGCAAGTGTCTAAGGTCAAGTAGCTAGAAATCAAATGAGTTGTCAAGCTTCGCTGACCCTACTGCCATAGCCTCATAGCCGGATGGGCCATGATCCATTGTGAGTCGTGACCAATCGGCCCCCCCGACTAGCGGCAACCCTAGTAGACCATGCGTCGGGGCGAGGATCCCTTCCCTGTTAGGATCTCGATCGTCCGAGAGTCAACCAATCTACTTGGATCAGAAGATCACGTGCAGTTCCTAACACCTAGACATTACCAGGGTATCAAGGAAAGGTGAAACTAGTTTGTACTCAGTGAATACTGAGTGAACAATGAGCATGACTAAGATTGATGGGACCCACTGCACAGAGGGGTGAATTGCGTATATGATCCTATGCTCCTAGATATATCTATCTACAAGTCCTTGATGGGTTACAAAAGTGGTAACGCGCTTCCTAATATAGCGGGCAGTGAGGTGAGCTTGCACTGTTAGGAGGATAAACTCATACCTTCTCCTGATCCCAGTGCACTAGTCTACCATGAGATCGCATTCCGTCCTCTAGTTCACTGAACCTTCCGATTTCTATATGGTTAGTGTTGGATATATTAGTACGGTGGGGGAGAATGCAGAAAAGGAATCATTATTTATTAGCGCTAGAAATGCAGGGGTATATATACCCTGTTTCAACCATCTAAGGAAAGCTCATTCTGTCGCAAACAAGCAAGTAACAAACAAACAAATGGCAAACATGCAAATGGCAAACATGCAAATGGCAAACATGCATGCATGAGATGATGTTCAACAGTCAGTTGACCTGACTGCCATGTTTACATTCAACCTCATGTCTACAGAGGCGTGAATGCATAAGTTAAGTACTGTACGGCTACATCGGATGGTTATGGGGGGAGTCTAAGATTTCACGCCGCTAGCAGGGTTTCACTGAAATACGAGATAGAGCCCCATCCCCGGGGATCAATAGCTCATATTCCGATTTCCAGATTTTCAAACGGGGGCCAGAGTGTGGGGTCGAGGGACGCACTAATGTACTCTTGATCCTTTCAAGGGACTTGTTTCGTTTACATAGAGACTAAGGGCGAGATACCTGCTCTGTAGAATACGACCATCGCGGTTTACCGAGAGGATATGCGGGCTATAAATACCCCTTTCCCATCGCCTCTAATTCTTCTCACCATCACTTTCCAGACATTCCAATCATTTAGCAGCTCCAAAAACCACTCTCCTCTACCGAAAACATGGTTAAGCTCAGCATCCTCTCCATTGCCTCCGTGGCTGCCTTTGCATCTCTTGGTGTGGCTAAGAACTGCCAAACGCAGTTCGATTACTGTTCCTCTGCCCTTCTGACCCGAGGTTAGTGAGGCAAATTTATATGATTTGAGTCACGATGAAGCAGAATACTGAACCTATGTTAAGGCAACTACGACATCCAGATCCGGAATGCGGTTGCCGCAGCTCAATCTTCATTCCCTGGCGTGACCAGAGACAACGCGTTGTTCGCTTGCCTTGGAGGCTCCAATGGCGAGATCAAAGTTATCGAGAAGTGCGGATACCGGTGCAAGAACGGAGGAGATGGCCACACAGACAGCTGCTAAAGATCAAACTTCTATCGACAAAGGTCTTCCTTCGCAGGAACGTGCGGATTGGTGGTTAGTGTTGGCACAACTTGGTATACAGCCAAGGTGCTCTATACTAGAGAATTCCATTTTGTCAGATTTTCTCGATATAATTAAATTGATAAGGTCTTCATATACTCTTTATGCACTATTCGAAGGGTTGACTTGCAAATATGCGAATATTTCTGCTAGAGAGACAAATCTGAGAGAGAACAAGCAGTCAAAAACCACGTAAGATATGCCAGTACCACTGAGATGGGTTCCAGATCGGGGATACTCAGAAAAGTCGTTCAGGATATATATCACTCAAGTTCGGTCTAGTAGCTGAGACATAGTTATCCAACTCGGTGGTGTTATCCGTGAAATACGTTAATGTATTCGGTAAGCGAGTGGGCATGGATGTAAGCCACCCAACCCAACTTATTAAATTAAATTGAAATGTATACAACATAAGATATATTTCTACCAAAACGCTATAAATACTAAAATTATCTATCTAGCTAGATATCTATTAATTGTATGCGCTATTTCTCTATAACCACCACACTTTGGCGAGGCGCGCGTACGTGGTTGTAAAGCCGGCAAAGGGCTTCTTCGCAGAGGAGAGGGAGGGGAGATAAGTACTTTAATTGCTTGTACCGGCTGAGTAATTAATTGAGAACCTTCCAAAGTTGGAAGCTTCTTAAACTAAGAGGGCTGTTACGATATTTAGGATACCCTATCATGAGGCTATTCGCAGATTGGTGCCTCAGGCTCATAGGACCTAGTAGTAGAACTTTAAGCTTTCGGCGATTGAACACCAGGCCTTCGCTCTATTTTCGTCAAGGAACCCTGTAGGGAGTGGTATTGGCTCAATTGTAGAGGTCATATAGAGGGTAAATAAAAGTTGGAAAAAATGCGATTCTATAATTTCTGAGTATCCTCGAGCTGGTAGCCCCTGACATAGTTACTTTGTTAGGTAACTAGTGGCCCGTAGTCAAAAGGTCCAATGATCGTCAAACGGGAACCTCCGCAAAACGGGGCTAACACTGCACCAGCCCCATTTAGGCTTCAGCCGTGGATCATGACACCACGCTTATGTCCCATCACCCAATCCCATTTGTTGAAACTGCGACAGGATTGCGGAACGGCTGAAAACCGTTGGACATTAGTACCAGTTCGCATTTCAACTGCCCACCCCAACCTCCCTTCACTCTCCTTCCTCATCATTCTAAGGGGCTAGATATCGAACCATGCCGAAATCGAAGGTTATTGAAGTGGTATGTCAATCCGTCAGTTTCTCCTCGCTGTTCTAACATGTTATAGGATGCGGATGTCTACTTTTCAGCCAATTATGCCGACGATTGCCAGTCGTAAATCCTCCCATTTCCCTCGTTGTTTCATGTTATTAGTCTCTAACATGACATGTACTACACAGGGAGACTACGTCTATTGGTACCTCGATCTATAATGGCTTGATGGAAAATGGTAGACGGTATGGTTTCATCGCATATTGACACACCCGGAGAGACTCGGCCCATCGCTTACATGTACTTATTACCTGCAGGTATCAAACGCTGAGCGACAAAGAATATCTGTATGCATATCATAGCATCCGACATTAAAGAAACCGCCAACTGATGCTCGTTTCTCACTAGGATTCCTGCCGATGACCTCGCATTTGAGTCCTATGAAGCTGGGTATGCATGACAACCCCTTTCTATATGTCATTATTATTCTTACCCTTAACACTCTCAGTCATCTGCTCGCTCTTGTCTTAGATTCGGAACGAGAGAACCCGCTATTTAGATCGCCTGTTGGCAAGAACCCTACACATGTGCTCGATATCGGAACGGGTAAGGGTAACTGGGCTATGTAAGAACCCTCTCCTTGTCCCATACCAGACAGGACTTATACCAATATAACACTTAACTTATAGTGATGTTGCCGACATGTTTCCGTCTGGTGAGTGCCAACCCCTCCCCCATACATCGACAAGGTGTTAAAATAAAACCACACAGCAACTGTCCGGGGAGTCGACCTCTTCCCACCTCCCATTACATGGATGCCACCCAACTGCATTCTCGAAGTCGACAACGTCCTAGAAGAATGGACCTGGAAAACCCCACTCGATCTAATCCACATGCGAATTATGACTGGCTCATTCGATACCGCGGGATGGGATCACGTCTACAAAGCCTCCTTCAAGTAAAGCACCCACATGTCCTAACCCCATCCATATCCGCAACCATATGCACTAACACCCGATCTCTCGTAGAAATCTACGACCAGGAGGCTGGATCGAACAATATGAGGGTTGTACATCCATCCAATGCGACGACGACAGCCTACCGGCAGACAGCATCCTGCGAACCTGGGGCTCGACTATGGACGCGTGTGGTGCGCGCGCCGGACTCTCGCTGGATACCCTCGACACCATGCGCGGCACAATAGAAAAGGCTGGGTTTGTGGATATCCAGGAGAAGGCGTATAAGTGGCCGATTGGGCCTTGGGCTCGAGATCAGAAATATAAAGAGGCGGGCGTGGTGAATTTCCAGCATTGGATTTCTGGTATGGAGGGATGGTGTATGTGGTTGCTTACTCATTTCGGTGCGCCGAGTCCTTGGACCAAGGATGAGGTTACCGTTTATTTGGCGAAGGTTCGTTCGGAGCTTAAGAATCCGAGATATCATATTTATCAGAGAGCGTGAGTTTGGCGTAAGCCCGTGGTGTGGTGGAGGGAACTGTCATGCTGATTCTGGTTTAGACGTCGTGTGTGGGCGCGCAAGCCCTTCCCTGGAGAGCTTACGCCTGAGATGACTCCTGAAGCGACACCGATCAAGGACGAGGAGGCGTGAAAGAAGTGGCAGTGACTATTCTCTTCTCAAGTAGTGAGTTATTGGTTGGTTATGATAAGAGGCGGTATAGGAAGGAAAATGAATAAAAGGGAAGGAAATGAATCAAGATGTTTGGAAATGCCTACGATGAATATTACCTGATTTCGAATTTAAGACATATACCCTGGCAGAAGACACGGTCAGTAAAGTCAGGATGAAACTAGGGTGCCGGCACTAGAAGATAGTTCCGCTTTCATATGTTGGTATCCTAGTGGTGTCCTGATGGTGCCTTTCACTCTCTGGCTAGAGAGAAAAAGACAACAACAGCCATAGTGTAAGGCCCGTATATCTGAAATAAGTCTCCTATTAGAAGTTATCTACAAGGTTAAGATCGCAAGCGTAGCGATATTAAGATCATGTGTTTCATTGAGCTATGTCGTAAGCTAGCTTAATTGCGAAAAAAAAAAGGGCTCCCCCTTGCACTTTTGATCGCATGGAATCATTGCAACTGTCCGGGATTTTAGTTCCATTGTAACAAATTCAGGATTCCAGTTCCAAACTCGCCAGCTGCGAGGAAAATGCTCGCCGAACCCACTCCATGTATGTCTTCCATTTGTGAAGATCACCCGATGCCTCCGCACCGGGGAACGCTTTGCTCAGTTCTCTAGTAATCTTCAAAATGCCGAGCGATGCCTCCTGGGCCTTCTCCAACTCTTGTTTGACGGCATTTTCCTTTGGCTTGAAGGAAAGCACACTGGTGTAATGCTCTGACAAATCATCCAGCCGCCGTTCAGTATCCTCCGGTGCGATCTTAATGAGTTTGGATGTCATGAGATTGCTGATTGCACGGATGTCTTGCTCGTCATCGATACCCGCGACGATGCGGTCAAAGAGGTCGGCCATATGGGTGCGGGAGAAGGAAGTGTCGAGCGAGGCATAAAGGGTTTCGTAGGCACTCTGTAAACGTGGATGTCAGTGGGGGTCTATGGTGGATAATAAGAGATACTGACCTTTCGCAAGTCGAGACCATCATCCACTTTGTGTTTGAATGGACCCATTTGTACCTCACGAATGAGCTCTGGCTTAATTTTGGTGTCACCGAGAACAGCCGGCAGCAGCTCTTCGAGGTGAGGGAGCAGAAGATCCATCTTGTTATGGATTGCAGAGTTAAGAGTGGTCAACGCAAGCCGGTGGTTGCCCAAATCACTATCACCAAGCATGTTGGTTAAAAGGGGCACCATCAACGGTCGCAGTACATCGTTGTAAGCATCACTTGAATCAGCAAGAGTGTAGCGGAATGCCGAAATCACGACGCCACGAACAGCCGGATCATCGTTGGCCAGGTATTCCTGTAAGCATGAGGTTAGTATTGGTAACATGATAGGAATGAGCACGACTTACTCCGAAGTGGGGAATGTAAGCACCAGGGTCAAGGAGTGCCAGGCGGCCCACACATTCAGCCCCGACAGCCCGGTTGTCTTCCTCTTCGGACACAACAAGGAGTGCGTGCCACAGTTTGTGGGCGGACGGTGCAAGATCCGGACGTACAACCTCGGGGTGCTGGAGTAATTCTCGCACCGAATGGAGAAGCAAATAGCTTGGAGCATTTGACTTTTCCAACCCATTCAGAATGATTGGGAGATAAGCCTTGACGCTACCTGCGGCAGCATTTCCGAGGGCAGTGGCGGCCGCCAAGCGCACATGATCTGACTGAGATTCGAAATGGGGAATGAAGATACCTGGGGTCAACGAGCACTCTGGGCCCATTCGCAAGCCGATTTCGCCTAGGATAGCAAGGGCAAGGCATTTTCGGCTATCATCACGTGCAGTCTTAAGTTCCGTTGAGAAATCTTCCATTGTGACTCCGAGGTTCGGTCCACCGTGGACCAGAAGGGTGCCAACAGCTCTTCCGACCACTGATGTGTCCCCTGTAATCCCAACGCCACGGAGAAGATTCTGCATCAAACTAGCACCCGCACCTTCGTCTCCAATGACTTTGACCAGCAGCAACAATGCTTTGAGAACAGTACCGACGAGTGGTTTGGTCACAATTGAGCAGATAGAAGAGATCAAACTGTCGTTGACCATTAGATTTGCGTTGCCAGGGACAAGTTTGGCAATAATGATCAACGTGGGCGTGAGTGTGTGGAAATCAGCTGCAGCGAGAAGAGGCAAAGCAGCATTCTCCAGTGTGGCGATCGTGTCGGGGGTGAGGTGAGATCTGATATTCGAGTTCATGGAAAGGCTCCGGAGAGTTTCCAAACACGCGCCTCTCAAGGCACGATCGGATTTGCGCAAATTCGATCCCAGCTCAAGGGCGACATTATTAACCCAATCACTGGAAACGTCCTGCTTGCGGTTGGCAAGAACGACGACATCATCGACCGCACGAACAGCGGACAGACGAGTTGTCTCGTTCTGCACTCGGTCGACCAAAACAGCCAGACCATTAGATCTCTTATCGGATGAAAGGAACGCTACACCTCGTTCTCCTGACGTACGTGCGAGAATCACACCGAACACATGGATCGCCCGTTGCCGGACTTCGAGATCAGCGCTTGTGTCGGTGATTCGAGAGTGGACAACATCATAGAGCTTCTGCAGCTGCAGAGTGACATCGGAAGGATTGGCAGATACGCGTGGGGGCGTAATTGCCTTGACGATTTGCTCCACGGCGCCTAATGCCTCGCTGCTGACTTTGTAGTTGCGGTCGTTGACGGCCCCGACCACTCCAGGCACCAGGGCAATCAGGAACGGCAATAGCGCGTCGGACAGATGTGTCTCGGCGATCACAGCAATAAGACCCAGGGTTTCAATTTGGAGGGTACCTGCACTGACAGCAGCCCCGGTATGAGCCGCTGTGCTCCCTGGAGAGAGATGAGGTCTTGAGGGCATCCGCAATGAGGTCTTCAATTTGTTGAAGATGGTCAGCGAGACCACCATAACGAACCAGGGAAAGGCTTTTGAGGAGAATGATAGCGGCTTGCTTGAGCGGAATCGAAGCCTGCTTCCAAACTTTGACAAGGTTCTGTACAATCAAAGGTACAGAGCGGGCCAGATCAGCCTGAGAACCAGATTTGGGGGACGATGGCACAGCAGGAGAATCCATCGCTGACGAGGTTCCAGCACTCGGTTCGAAGTCGATCATTGACGCATCACTATCTTGGCGTCTGCGCTTGCGGGAATTCTTCGAACCCCCCACGGCCTCCAGGAAGTCATTGGATGTGACGATCATGGAACCCTCGCTGGTCTTCCTAACAAGCGCCGTCAATGTCGACACTACCTCAAGTTTCACACTCTCTTCTCTTTCCCTGCTAATTTGGGAGATCAGAGCTGGGGCAATTTGCTGAAACAAGGCGGAAGCGTCCGAAGCGCGACCAAGCCCGTAGGTAGAGATGACGGTGTAGAGAAGCTTGGCAGCACATCGGCGTACCTTCCAGCTCATGTCGTCAATGTCACTGTAGCCTCCTTCTTCCTCAAAGTCGGCGAATTCATCGTCTTCCAGGTCGGGATCCTCCGTGGCATCGTCACTCCCATCGTCCTGTGTGCCGCCCATCTCCTCATCGTCCTCCAATTCGGCAACGTTTGGATCGTATTTTAAAAATCGAAGAGCTGATCGGGTGGTGTTCGTTAGGTAAGGCTGCATCTGTTTGTTGCAGGAGCTGATCAGCGCCTCAAGAGTGACCAAGGCGGTCTCGCGGAGCTCGTCCGCCTGGGGATCATGTTCGTCGTCATCGGAGTAAGACGACATTATGGCGAAGGTGGGAAGCACAATATGAAATAAGTAAAGTGAAATAAGTAAAGAGAAATCGGGTCGACTCTGCGGACACACGCGCTGGAGACGTTTGTGTCGGGGGGATCACCGTCACGGAGCCTAGAGTCGTAGGCAAGCTAGCTGCCCCGCGCTAGTCCCGATATGGCAATAAACTCACGTGCGCGACCTCTACTGCAAAAAGTCGAGCAGATCGAGTGACGGTTGGGCACGTTGTTTGGAGGCTAGAAGAGCTTGAAGGCCACCTTGCTTCCTTGCTTTGGCTCTCTTCTTGCTGTTCTGGTTGTCACCTGCCTTGGGATCCGATGAGGCCTGCGTCGAACCTTTCACGTCAACCCCTACAGGAGTTGACCCTCGAGTAGATGTAACCGTAGTTACCCCAGATGAAGGTTTCGAGACAGGCTTCCTTGAATTCCTTCGAGGTAGCACTGTCCGCTGCTGGCAGCGTAAACACTTGTACACTGTGGCACCCGCAGATGCCGATCCAGAGCTTAAAGGCTTGCTTTTTTTCGGCTTGATTTTAGTAACTTTACTCCATTGGGCGTTTCTAATGCTACCACAGGCTCCGCAGTGATCTTTCTTCTGTAGGACACTCAATGACTTGGACTCCTCATGGAGAAGCCGGGTGTGCACCGCTAACAGATGAGCTGATGTCGATGAACTGAGGGGAACAGCCGAGACAGCCTGAATGAGAAAGGAAGGATCGATGTGAGACATTGTGTGGTCTTTCCTATTCAGGTAAAGGGAATTTAATTCAAAAATGCAAACAACAATCAACCGAATAGAGAAAGACAATAGGAGGCAAACGGAGAACAAAGAGAACAAAGAAAAGACAATAGGGCAGCCCGTTTGCTATTTTCCTATTCAGAGATTTGCCGCGCGGGAGCTTAAAACCCAGCTCCACCCAGCCGCTTCTTCCCATCTACATCTCTCTGCTCTCTACCCTTTCCCCAACTTCTCTACCCACTACTCCTCTCTCACTCTTCAAATTGCTTCATTTTTTATTTTCTTTCCTGCAGCTTTCATCGACTTTATCGCAGGGGTTTACTTTGAGATTTTCTTTTCTGACAGCCTCATTCTGAGGTTTGTCTTCTTTTTCTGTGTTATCACAATCCGACAGCTCAGTTGGATTCGTCCACGATGGCACCTGTTCGCATTGCCGTGGAAGGCTGCGTAAGTGACATTGCATGCATGGAGACAACCACCCCACTTCATGTGACATATCCCACTTCATAGCTTATTGCTAATCATTTCATACAGGGTCATGGCAATCTCAATGACATCTATGAGACTGTGGATCGCAAAGCCACTGAGAAAGGTTGGGACTCTGTTGATCTCGTTATCATTGGTGGAGATTTTCAGGTGGGTTCCCTGTCATACCTCATTCCACACGAGCTCAATATTGACTGACCAAACCAGGCTTTGCGTAACGCCAATGATGCGACTTGTCTTTCAGTTCCCGACAAGTTCAAGCAGATTGGCGATTTTCACGAGTACTACAGTGGTGCCCGTACTGCTCCTTACTTGACATTGTTCATCGGAGGCAATCATGAGGCCAGCAATCACCTGTCCGAGCTCTACTATGGCGGTTGGGTGGCCCCCAACATCTACTACATGGGAGCAGCCAACATCGTCCGCTTTGGACCTCTCCGAATCTCGGGAATGTCGGGCATCTGGAAAGGTTACGACTACCGGAAGCCCCACTATGAACGGCTGCCGTACAACAGGGATGATGTTTCTTCAATCTACCACACCCGGGAGGTGGATATCCGGAAGTTGCTGCAAGTGAGCACCCAGGTCGATATCGGGCTGTCCCATGATTGGCCAAAGGGTGTCGAGAAGCTTGGAGACTCCACAACCCTGTTCCGCAAGAAGTCAGGTTTCCAGGCCGATTCCGATTCTGGAAAGCTCGGAAGTGTCGCTGCACGCCAAGCCCTCAACCATCTACGCCCTGCCTATTGGCTTTCGGCCCATTTGCACGTCCGCTTCACTGCCAATGTGCACCATGACCCACCTCGTGCGGATACCACTTCTTTGGGTTCCCCCAATCATGTTCCTGCTTCGGATACAAACAACAAGGCCCCAATTCCACGAAGTAACGTCAATACCAATGCCCTTGCCGGCCACCAATTGCTTGGTACTGCCACTGGAGACGAACAGTCTCGCATCAAGGCTTGGAATGAATTCGGAGAGAAAGCCCGACGGGCTGAGAAAGAGAAGCGTGACCAAGATGAGTTCATGCGTATGATCAGGGCGAGACAGCCGAAAGCCCCACGCAACATTACGTTCACCGAAACTGCCAAGATTGGAGGTGGTCCCATTCAGACATTCGTACGTGGTGCGGATGGAGAAAGAATCGAATCCGCCCCGGTGGACGGCGAGAACATCGAAAGCCTCGACAAGGTCAACCAGGGAAATAGCCCCGTGAATACCTGTTCCGATGAGGCGGTTGCCAAGCAGGAATCGTTGTCTGCTGAGACAACCGAAGATATCAAGACCAAGCATGTCAAGACGACCGAGGATGTCAAGACCGCTAATGATGTCGCGGATAACATCGACAAAATCAGTGTTTCTACAAGCCCCAGCAGCGCCGCAAGTGTGAAGTCTCCTCCGACTGAGAAGGCTCTTCCGAAAGCCGACATTTCTCTGAATTGGGCCGATGATCGCTCTTATGACCCCTGGTGGAGCGATGGTGTGGACGATCGAGCCCGCAAAGTGGCAACCGAGCTCCCGACCAGCCTTGAGAAGTCGTATGTACCCAAGACTACCGCGAATAAGCCAAGTTCGGAATTCCTTCCACCGCCGGCGATGATCAAGAACCTTGTGACTCAGTTCCTGACCTTGGACAAACCACACAACCATGATGACTTTGTTGAACTTCTGGAGATTGAGCCAGTTTCCGAGCATGATGATGCTGCAGTGGAGTCTCCCATGCGACTCATGTACGACAAGGAGTGGCTGGCGATCACTCGTGCCTTCGCTGACGAGCTCGAGTTTGGTGGAAACCCCAAAGGTAGTGTCCCTGCCCACAAGGGATATGCATTCTACCAACAGCGCATTGCCGAGGAGGAAAAATGGGTGCGCGAGAACGTTGTTGACGTTGGATTGTTGAACATTCCAACTGACTTTGTCCTGACTGCCCCTATCTATGACCCTGATGTCTCGATCAACACACGGGAGCAGCCAAAGGAGTACACCAACCCACAGACGTCTGCATTCTGCAATCTGATTGGGATTGAAAACAAGTTTGATATGAGCGAGGAAGAACGTCTGGCTCGCATGGAAGCCGGGCCACGCCCCGATGAACCTCGTCACTTCCAGGGCAACCGCGGTGGACGTGGTGGACGCGGCCGTGGCGGTCGTGGTGGTCGTGGTCCTGGGCGTGGTGGCCGTGGCGGGCGTGGAAACTCAGGCCCGACCTGGTAATTTGACCAGTGCTTGGCTCTCCCGTCTACATTGGAGGGAGGCACTTGTGCGTTTCGTTGGTGGCTTGCCGGTTTGAATGTTGCCGGGTTGAATGAGAGAGAAGCAATAATCTTTTAACTTATGGAATGAATGTCTTAGTTACCAATTTCTTTTATTTTGCTTTCTACATGTATCTACATGATGCTATGGATCTGCACACTAGTTTACTTAAGTCGGGAGGTCCCTTGTTTTCCAATTTAGTTTCTGCATACTAGTGACTCGATAGAATAACTTGCTCTGCTTCTACATCGCCCGAGTTCTACCTGCACATACCATGTATCCTGGGCGGGGATTCTGTCACTTCCCTATGCTGTCACTTTCCCATTATTTCTGTCTTTCTCAAATGCCCTGTCTTTCCAATCACCAACATTCTTATAACTATTGTAACTAGTGGTAATGATATCAAAAACAAAAAAGCAAGTGCATCATCCGTGAATCGAACACGGGCCTCGTCGATGGCAACGACGAATTCTACCACTAGACCAATGATGCTGAGAAACCAAGTGGATCTAAATGCTGATTCGCTGGTGATATACTGTTGTCTCGTGTAAGGTAGTTATCTCGGAGGGCTCTGAGATTATAATTGGATTTAAAGCTAATGAGAATTATGTTTAACTACTGTTATTTCCAAGGTTGATGTTTGATAGGTTTTGAATATTGATTTGTGGAAAAGTATGAGTGCTGTTCCTATTGTATCTGAGCATTTAGCTCATTCAACCTCCTCAATGCGCGGACGTCCAGTGTTTTCCCCTGCCATGGGATCAACCCGGAGACCGGCGATCCTGTCACCCAGTCCAAATTGTGGATTGAAGGCATCTTGATCGTCATGAGCGCCAATCCCCCACATCAAAGACTTCTCCGACCAAGCCTCCAAACTTTCAATCAAAGCCCGTAGATTTCCACGAGCGAGCCCATCCTCCTCGGAACCTTCGACGAAGCGGAGAGTGCGTAGCATGGCAGGTATATTGCCAATGGTCGACTGCCCCTGCATGCTGGAACCATATGGAGTGCCAAACCTTGAAGTCGAGTCGTCCAAAAGGGAAAAGCCGAACCCGATATCCTGGTTCGTGCGTGTCTCCCGCGCTGCTTCAAGGGCTTTGAGAATGTCTAGGATCAGAACAATACTCGCCCGGCGGAGGATGGCACTCTCCGGTTCCCTTTCGAGGGTTATGGTAGCGAGAGCCAGCTCAACGGCGGAAGAAAGAATGGTAGGGCCGAGACCGAGGATGTTGACATCAATGGCTGAGCCAAGAATGGAGATGGCCGATGCCCGGATGCGAAGGTCATCAGGGGCATCATCTGCGGATGCACCAGCAGCCCATGCAGCGACGACATTTGTGGCGTATTCCGATTGCTCTGGGGATTCCTCGTCCGAATGAAGTTCGGTGAGGTCGAGTTCGGAAGCAGCTTTGGCTACTCCAGATGAAATGGACCAGCCTTCGGGCATGGCCGATTCGTTCTCCTTTCGTTGTGCACGTTCCTGTTCTCGTTTCTCTTTCGCAATTTGCTTCTTGCGGGTTTGCTGTGCATGTTGCTTGTTGCCACGCCGTCCTGCGACGGCAACCATAGCCTCACCAAGAATCTTCGCCGTCTCACCGGCCAGTGCATCTCCCAATTCCTGGACGGTTCGCAGTAGAGACTCACCAATCCTAAGCCTTTCGTCCAATGCTCTTTGTTCGCGTCTGTCTGCGTATTCCTCGACCAAGGTTTTGATCACGGTACGTGGGTGACGTGATGCAAGTGTACCAACTATCTTGATTGCACCCAGATATGAGTATTCCTCGTTGCCAGCGGTCTTGGATGCGTCTGTGATAACTGAGAGCAGGAGTGCGAGGGTTGACCCTACGTCAAGAACGGGTGACGAGCTCATGATTAGTTTCGAAATCAGCGAAAGGCCCTCGGCCTGCACGGGTGGTAGATCTGAGTTGAGATTGGCAAGTGCTTGACGATGCATGTCCAGGTCCTGAACATGAGCTGGTACTGCCTTGATTGAGGTTTCAGCTGCACCGGCAAGGTGAATCTCTAGCAACATAGAGGAGGTAGTTGCTGGTTTGGAGAGGGTAGAAGGGAGAAAGGGGATGAGTTGATCGAGATCCTTTTTAAGAGATCCAAGGAGGGGCTCAATTTCAGCGGTGGGAGAAAAGTCAGCGGATGCAAGAAGCGTGGACATCAAACTGAAGGCTGTGGAGACGGACTCGAAGGAGTCATTCCCTGATTCCTCCTTGTCTTTGTCCTTGGTTTCCACGATATGAGCTAAAGATGACAGGGATACCTTGCTGTTTACTTTGCCTTGCATCGCCCTTTTTTGTGCGCTAAATCTATGCAGCTCCCCATCAATGACTTGCTTGATAAGCTCTAAAACTCGGAGCGGGCGTCGAGTCAATGCTTCTTTGAAGTTTTCAAGCAGCTTCTCTGCAACCTTGGCACTGACAAGCTTCTGAATAATGTTGTCACTTTCACCAACGGGGCCTCCGCTCAATGTGTTGCGAGGGACTGCAGAGCCCTGTGGCTGCACGAGCCAGTTTTGACTGACATAGAGGAAGATATCACCGGTCCGTTCCTCACTGCTAGGATCCGAGCCAATGAGACTGACGAAAAGCTCTGCTCGTGCTTGGAGGGAATCGATCAACCGCACCAAATTTGAATGCTCGTTTGTTTTCTCACTCCGTTTTTGCAACGCGATTCCAGCGTTGGAATCTTCCATGTATGTCCACATCGCACCCCCATCCCAAAGAAGATTATCAACCAGCTTTTTGAGGGGTTGGGCTCCAACGGAGATTCCGAAATACGTCTGGAGAAGGGGCAAGACTCTTTCATGGAATGAAGCCAGTCCTTCCTCCTGGGAGAAACAGGCCAAGCCCCACAACGGAAGAAGAATCGGATACACGATTCGTTTCACAAGACCTGGGTTTGGATGCTGCAATGTCAGACATCGCAGTCTGTTTAGAGCCAGGTCGACTGTGACGCCATCTACTAGGACATTGGATGTAGGATCCGCTTCCGGGGGGTCCGGCATAGAGCCTTCAATATCGGTGAAGCGACTGATCCATCGCCTCGATTTAGCATCGAGGTTCGCGGCGAGTGCATTGAATATCGGCTCCACAAAGATGGAGTGCCCAACTGTGCCAGGAGCACCATAAGCACGTTTCCCCAAAATCCCATTACCGACAACATATGATGCAGTTTTCCGCAGATCTGGATCATCACCGTCGATTAATGCTAGCAGCTGGGGGGCGATTGTCTCAAAATAGACAGTTGGATCAAAGTCCGATGGCACAGAGGAAAGGAGTCGTGAGATTTGCATGATGGCCTGCACAGTTAAACGAGGGCCATTTGATTGGTCCTGTGCTTCCAGGCCTAGCGATGGTGAGAACTGTGATGCAATGAACATAATGGTTTGCACTACTCCACCGAGTCGTAGCGGAACTTGTGAGATCTGGCTAGATATTGTTGACTTGAACCATTGCGCAGTATCTGACTGGAGGAACGCAGATAATGTGGGCAACAAGACGGTTGTTGGGGTGCTGTAGACTGTTAATATTACTAGAAATAGCAAAAGCAATGAAAACATACTCATCAATGATCTTGGCCAGCGTTTTCTGATACGTTTTCTTGTGAGATGATGCCACAGTATTTGGATTGAAAGCCAGATCAGACGTGCCACTAATTATGTCACTTAATATACGACCACGAATGATCGGTTGGAGGCTTGGCTTTGGGTCGAAGAGAACGTCAACGAGAACGTCAATTATGCGGCGCAAAAGAGGCTCGTCATGCGGTACACTGCTAGTAACCGTTTGAGCCTGCTTTGCAATTACGCCAGCTGGTAATACCGAGATCACCCGCTGCTGCAGGGGAATCCCAACACCAGATGATAGCGAAGGATATATTCCTTCTAGGGAAATCAGGTCCAGCAATGCATGTAGCATCCGACGGCGCTTGGCATCTTCTGAGGGCGAGTCTTCAACCTCCCCACATGACTGAAGAGACCCATATTGGTCCTCAGGTGAAACAAAAGATCTATGGATATCGATCAAGATATCCAAAGCCTCATTGATCACTGTTGGTCTCGCATCATCATCACCAGCACACTCATCCTCCCCCGGAGGCTGACTGAGGATATGCAGCAAAGATTTACCTTGAGTCTTCTGTATTTCCTCTTCAAGAGGGTTAGCCCCAGAGACCTAATGTAACTTGATATCTCGAACGTGCATACCTCGATCGAGGACTGGGGTCAGAAAGTTCTTAGCAATGTCAAATGCTTCGCGAATTTGCTGTGGGCCTCCCATCATGAATACTTGCAAGATGCTATCATGTCAAACTCACGCCAATGAGGGTATTGGCCTCATCGACATTGTCCAGTTCGAAAACTGAATGAATAATCAGGAACAATTGCGGCCTTGGCGTTTGTCGTTGATTATGTCATAACAGGAAAGTACAAGTCACATCGCGTGTAAGTCACGTGTAAGTCGCGTCAGTCTCGTGGTCCGCGCTTGCCCGTATTGGTGTGTCGCGTCAACTCGGAGATGTTGTTGTTACTAACTCTTATCCACTAACTACTCATTCCACACCCTTTGAAGAGACACTTGAACCGCCGTGACCAGTTCCTCAGCTACCCCGAATCTTGCTTGTTTTTACAATATTCATTGGACCCAATTTCTGTTCAGACTTGTTGGAGTTCCACCGTGACCGTTTCTTTGAGTGTGGCGCCACCCGAGTCTCTTGCCCCCCGAGGTACACATGTACAGATCAACCCTCTCAGATCTTCATTTTCCTCTGCTACCTTCAATGGTGAACCGTGACATATGTCTCGCCCTCGGCGACTCGTATCATTTCGGCGCAGAAGACATTGGAGTCAAACCCTAAGCCCTCCTCGGTTCAATGTCCCCACGGACACAGTTTCACGGATTGCGCATGCCGGATAATACGATTAGCTGAAACAGACTGTGATGGTCCGATTAAGCGAAAGATATTCGATTTAGCCAGAGCCTTCGGGCACCAAAGACGGTTTACTATGCGTTATCCAAAAGGAGACCGCGTCGGTTTACCAATGCTGGACGCTGCATGCCGGTCACAAACGGATGATCGCCCTATGCCTCGGATATCAGTTCAGCGAGAAGAGAACGCGGGTGAAGCATGTCGGGTACTTCCGTATCAGATGTCACCTTTAGGACCAACCACGACAGCGCGACCTGATGGCGATTGAATGCGACATTTAAGTCTCGAATACCCTAGGGCATCAAATTGCTTGGCTCGGAGATTTAGAGCCTAGAACACAGCAGTATCCTTACACACGGTCATAGTGTCAGTATATCCAAATAATCCACTCGCCGGAATCAACATTCCTCTCCCTGAAAATTGCCCAGGCATTTTCACAGTTGAAGTTGTCGCGAGGTTGTTTGGTTATGTTGCCCTATGGTTCTTCGACGTTGCTCTCAGGGGCACATCGAAGATTGCGAACTGTTGTCTCGTTCCGGATGGCAACGGATTTCCCCCGAGTTATTTGATGTTTTTCGAACTTATTTGCCTGTATTCTCTCCTCAGTTCTGCTAGCATCAACTGTCTGCTCCTGCACATGTTTCCTATTCCAGGATCCCTGGGGATCTTGCCCCCGCGTTCCACCTTCTTGGGCTCTGTTATTCCTACGCCTCACAGGCGGCTAGGCGTCTCGTATCACGGCACCCGCCACCGATTCGACTTCGTCAGAAGATCCCGACCGACCGTGTTAACCATCTCTTCGCAAAGTAGTTTGTGAATAGATTGATGGGCGCCGACATCAACAATGACTTCCATCATTGTACCTTCCTTCGGGAAGAAGGAAGCGATTTTTCTGGATGTTCTTTGTCCGCTTCACAACACGCCCTCCTGCAAGACCCTTGGGTCAACCGGGAGAGGAAACAAAAACCTGTCCCAAAGGGTACTGTACCACACACGGGAGACTCGGCTTCATACTCATGCGACGGTATCGGTGAAACAATAGCGGGTGGACTGGAATTGCGGAGATGGATGGCGGTTGAGCACATTCGGTTGAGCTTACTGTGTCTCGACCAAGTTTGGCTTGTCTTCGTGAAGGTTGTGTGGGGTTGTGTGGGTTTGTGGGTCTGAGGGATATGTTCATCGGCTGTCGTCCGCTCCCAGCATTCCTCAACTCCTGTATGCGCCTGTATTTGATGCTCGCCCTCTTACCTCTCGATTGATCGCAATTGTTCTGGTCAGAGAAATGTACGGTTTCTATCTTTCGAACGCTTTGACTCATCAGCCCATTTTCAGTCGGCATGGGGCCGATGTCCTTGGTCGGTTCTAACGTGTGTGCGTCATGCAGTGGGTGTCGTGGGACCTCTCTCGAGTGAGGATCAAAGCTTTGGCTTGTCTACGATACTCATCTGCTGCTATGCGTTCCCGGCTCAGGCTCGTCCGCATTGTCTGATTGAAATGAACTGAAAAGCGACGAATTGGAATTCGGACGATCTCCATACCGCTAAGGGACTATTGTATTGTCATTGGGACTTGGACGTTGTGTCAATGATGGTCTTTACACGGGAGCAGAATGTTTGGCCAGGCGATAGCCGGTAGACTGCCGTTTCTACCACTTTGGTGGTGGAAACGGCCACCTTTTTTTTTATAAGTACCCCCGAGCACCCCTTCTATTCCGAGATGATGCTAACTACCTATATTCGCAGATTCTGATATTGAGTGGAATACCGGGGAATACAACGAGAAAATTGAAGACCGTGAATACGCATTCTGAGCTAGCTAGATTCATGCACAGTGCACACAATGTATGTTCTACATGAAGATCTGCAATCATCGCATGTAGATCTCAATGCCAAATATAGTTATCCACCTCACCGCCCTCCAAGTACAGCTAAGCGGTGACACATATAGTGGCAGAAATTGTATTACCTCATCCCCCTCTTTGTCAGCCCCTCAGCCCTTCTGCCCCGCGCAGAACAGGAAGGAATGTTCCCGTGGCTCCGACAATTTTTTTGCGATAAGAATTTCTTGCTTCAGTGCCTTCACTACAACTTCCCCCGGGTATTCCTATTTACACCAATATTTGCCTTGGGATATCAGAGTCAACTTGTTTTCTCATTTCTCATTAATTTTCACAAACTTTTCTCCTATACAATGGTCAGCAAAGCCGACAATGATGCCCTCGAGGCGCAGTTTGAGTCGCAATTCCAAAAGCCCGGCGATCTTGTGGAGCGTGATGATGACACTGGCGCGATGGCAATCGAGTCACTTTGCATGAACTGCCACGAGCAAGGGTTCGTTTCTACTATTCAATTCTTATGGCTTACACATTGCTAACTTTCAACCACTTCAATCAGAGTCACGCGTCTTCTTTTGCTCCGAGTCCCTTACTTCAGAGACATCATCCTGGAGAGTTTCGAATGTGAACATTGCCACCTCAAGAACAACTCGATCAAATCGGCAGGCCAGATCCAGGAGCGTGGAACTGTTTACACTTTAAGAGTCGAGAATGAGGAGGATCTTCAGGTATCTATCTCTAGCTATCATGCATGTTCTCCCGCTCGAGCTAACTGGATAATTTAGCGCCAAGTCATCCGAAGTGATGTTTCAGGCTTCAAGCTTACCACTAAGCTCGGCAACGAGATTGAGGTCCCCAAGGGAACCGGCCAGTTGACCAATGTCGAAGGCAGTATGTGAAAACCAATGCAATAAAGCTCGATCTCACGATGCTAACCTCGTTGTTTTTAGTGGTTCAACTTATTCATGAAAGTTTGTCTGGAGAGCAAGATCTCCGTAAGGACCAAGCCCCTGAACTTCACGCTGCCCTTGTGCCGATCATCGACAGTCTCGAGAAGATCATGTCACGCGAGGACGCTTTCCCTTTCACCGTCTCCCTCGATGACCTCACTGGAAATTCGTGGATCGCGCCTAACAGCACCGATCGTGGCAACAAGTACAAACGCCATGAATACCCGCGTACCCACGAACAGAATGAGGAGTTGGGAATTTCTGCTGACGCCAACGCTGTCAACCAAGAGGATACAGCTGAGGTGGAGGCTGGCGACCCAGACGATCTCGATATCGTCGACGGCCAGGTCTACACCATTCCTTCCGAGTGTCCTGGCTGTAATAAGGAAGCCGAGGTGAACATTAAGAAGGTTAACATTCCTTACTTTAAGGAAGTTCTGCTGTTTGGCACGAACTGTGGACACTGCGGTTACAAATCTTCTGCAATCAAGACCGGTGGCGAGGTACCCGAGAAGGGCAAGCGTATCACTCTCCAGGTCGATAATGAGGTTGATCTCTCGCGTGATATTCTCAAGAGTGACACAGCCGGACTTTACAGTCCCGAACTTGACCTGGATGTTCAGCCAGGAACCCTCGGTGGACGTTTCACCACAGTCGAGGGATTGCTAGGTTAGTTCCTCTACTATTTGATTAGATTTACCCAGCTAACCCTTTTTATAGTTGAGATCAGGGATCAGTTGAAGGGTGCCATTTTCGATGTTGACGATTCCACACGCTCTGGAGGCGATAGCATGGTCTCTTCTGATAAGGATAAGTGGCAAAGGTTCTTCAGCCGTCTCGACCAGGCTATCAGCGGCGAGCTCAAGTTCGCTATCACGTTGCAAGACCCGATGGCCTCCTGTTACGTGCAAGATCTTTGCAGCCCGGCTATCGACCACCAGATCACTACTGAGGACTACACCCGCTCTGCCGAGGAGGAAGATGATCTTGGTCTAACAGACATGAAGACCGAGGGTTATGAGGCGGACCAGGCCGAGGCCGATGCTGCCAAGGCCGATGCCACTCAGAAGGAGTAATCGAAGGATTTATGATGTATACCCATCTCATGAAACTTGGGATGATCTGATTCTTTTGGGGTTCTTGCATAACGGCGTTCGTGATATGTACTTTTCTGCTGGTGTCATTGAAAATATACAGTCATACATAGGGATGAAGTCATAAAAGTTATTTTGTCTAATATATTTTGCACTACTTAATAGTAAAACAGTTGGCAACAGAGGTCTACCGAGAAGGGTTATCCCGAAGTGCATGGCCGATGAGAGATGGTTGAATGGTTGAATGGTTGAAGCTATACTAGATCTGAGATGATGAATACCTGTACTTTATATGTTTGCTACTGATCGTATGTCTTCATCATTCTGAGGTCCATCCATTCTCGAAGCTGCATCCATTAACACGAAGCCCATTTTTCAAATCCTCTTGCAAACCCCAGGCACTTCATATTAACAGAACGGTTCCAAAGTTCAGATGCCACCACCATAACAACACCTAACACGAGCATGGTTCCCGTGCAAGTTGTAGAAAACGGTAAAGCATGTTTGCTCGCCTCGATCGTACCAGGACAAGGTGTTCTTGTAACTGCCCACCACAGAAAGTCTCGAACTGGCCATTTGAGAGTAAGATAGATTGTCGGGTAGACTAGTTCTCGAAAGTACATATTAGATATGAGCCCATGGCGCTGTCAAAGGCTTTAGCCGGCCTAACCAGTCATCCGCAGATTTCCACTGAAACGCATTGCATAAGTACACAAGTTGGCTTAGGAATAGTATAGGGATAGAGGGCAGATATATTCGGAAGATTCGGCGAGTTGCGGCAGAGCATAGTCGGCGAAAGAGCCCCGAATTACTTGCCCCAATGTCCTCTCGGCACTGGAGAAGCGAAAGGGAGATCGCATAACCCGAGATACCATGAACAAAGCCACTATTGATGGACCATTGAAGAGAAGCCGGAAGGGCGGGGGTTGGATCCGACGACGGTTCTCTTCGGCCGGTTCATTCCAGTAGGGCCTAGTCAAAAGGCCAACGATAATCTTGGGCTCTGGGCTCTTTGAATGGTGTGTCACTACTACCAAAGCTGAGGCTATGCCCCGAAGGTTATCCAGTCACAGAATCCGCTTCATGCCCAGAAATGAATGTGTGCACAAAGGGGAAAAAACCACTGAGGGTCGAACGATTCGTAGCTGAACAAAGTAGGGTAATTTACGAGTGAACATCCTGTATGGAAGTAAATTACAAAGGAGTATAGTTAGCGTATGAACGCACTTGTCAGGCTAGTTACACTAGTGAACAACTCGACATCGCACAGATCGAGATCGAGTCACAGGAAATAGACGTACTATGTATTAGACATTGTCTTAAGCGTGTACTCCGTAATACATGTGGCAATAGGCTGAAATCCTCCAAGACCACCCGGAAACCCCGAAACCCTCATAGGATGCATGATATATAGTACATAATTAGGGCTCATCCAGCATTGACGTGAATGGATTGTACATACATGCAGGAGTCGTCGCAATATGACATATAAACAACTGAAATTCAAAAGCAAAAAGCAATTGGTCGACACCAAAAGAATATTCTTTATGTGTGATCCTCAAACACAGTATACCCCCTGCATATGGGCCCTAGGCTTATGCAAACGCCACCGGGCCATTTTGGGCGCTGTGAGTTCATTTGTCACATTACCTGCACAATTCAGCTCCAAAGTACTATATTCCCAGTGTTTTCCTAGATCGAGATACTTACTCGGATACTTACTCGGGCCTGTTCGGCTTTAAATACACCGGGCGAGGTTTCACATTCGAATTGTTCCAATTCACCCCAAAGCAAAGAGATACATATATTAAGTATTAGGATTAAACATTGACTGACATCCATTTGGTCAAGCGTTCTTGACCTTTTCCCTTAAACAAGAAATTAGCCCTGCAGGGTTTCGTTTCTCCATAGGCAAGGCACCGACCCTATATGTATAATCCACTGAATGATTTCCAAATATCCAAATCTATATCTTGCCCGACAAGACCTCGAACCCCACAGGTTCTATCTGCGCACGGATCTGCTTCTGCCACATAGTGGTATATCGACCCCGAGAAGCGAGAAGCTGCTCATGGGTCCCACTCTCGGCGACACGACCTTCGTGTAATACAACAATGTTATCAGCAGTGGTAATGGTACTCAACCGATGGGCAATCACTAGTACAGTGCGCCCACGCGATAAAATGGATAGTGCTTCTTGGATATTCTGCTCCGTCTCGGAATCCAATGCGGCCGTTGCCTCGTCAAGCAGGATGATTTGAGGTTTCTTGATAATGGTTCGGGCAATGGCAACGCGCTGTTTCTCACCACCACTTAGTCGTAATCCACGGTCTCCCACTTTGGTTTCATATCTATCGGGAAAAGCCATGATCTTGTCATGTACACTGGCTGCACGGCAGGCGTCATAGACTTCCTCATCAGTAGCGTTTTGGTTGGCGTATTTGAGGTTGTACATAAGTGTTTCGTTGAATAAAACTGTGTCTTGTGGGACAATGCCAATGTGTCTTCGCACGGAGTCAATTGTCAAGGTTTGGGTGTCGTGTCCGTCAATGAAAAGGCTTCCGCTGCTCGGATTGTAGAATCTGTACAGCAAACGGAAGATTGTCGATTTTCCGCCACCTGATTCACCCACCAGAGCAGTAGTTGTACCCGGCTTACAGTCAAAGGTCAATCCATTGAGCGCAGGTCGTCGTGTGTCGTACGAGAATTGGATATCGTTAAATGTGATTCGGCCTTGGCAGACTGCTAGTGGTGTTGCGGAGGGTGCATCCACTACCGATGGCTGGACGCGGAACAGCTCGAGTAGACGCTCCGCATTAATCAACGCAGATTGAATGTATCGGTAGAAGGTACCAAAGATGTTCAATGGGGCTTGAAGTTGAGCCATGTATGTAAGGAGAGTCACAAACTGGCCGACTGCACGTTGACCGCGAGCAACCTGGTAGGCGCAAATAAAACAGGTGATTAGAAGGCCGAGCATAAAGATGACATTTTGGAAAATGTTCATCAGATTCTGTGCGAAGAGAGAATACCATTCTGCCCTGAGGTAGTCCGAGACCGCCCCTCGATAGCGATTGAACTCGTAATTCTCTGCATTGAAGTATTTGACGGTTTCGTAGGAAACAAGAGAATCATTTCTGTATAGATTAGTCAAGCCCGATGGGACAAATCGAGACAAGTAAAGGGAAGTAAAACTTACTTGACAGCGTCTTCCTGCCTGGAAGCGTTCACCATTTGGCGTCGCATATTGGCTCTCCAAGAGGCGATCTTGACAGTTGAATAGAGGTAGAAGAATGTCATGACAGCGACAGCCAATGCATAGTACACGTCAAATACGACTAGAAAATATCCAATGGCAATGGCCAAGTCAATAAACATGGGCAACACTTGAAAGGTCACTTGCTCAAGGAAAGTGTTAATTGAGCTGCCTTTGGTGAGAGCAGAAAGAACCTCGCCCATCTTTTTACCCAGATGAAAGTCCAGGCCTAGGTTATGAACATGCTCAAATGCAGCGGTTGATAACTCCATGTATGCATACTGGCTCACTGAAATCCACAGATTCGAACGAACTGACTCAAGAGAACCTTGACTGCCTTGAAGCCAACGGTAAATGATATACAAACAGATGGGTATCCAAGGCACCTGCAAAGTTTCATCACTGGTGGACAGTGAGTCTGCGATCACTCCCACCTGATATGGGACTAGGATATTAACCGCTCGCTGGACAATTAATATAGCAAAGCAGATAACAACGACAACTTGCAATCGGAGAGATTTGTAAGGCCATAAATATGGAAAGAATAGGGAATAACCACTCAGATATTCCATCCAGTTGGTGGAAGGAGTCGTCAAAGGCCGGACCCAAGCTTCTACTTCGGGAGTCTGTTGACAATCGGTCAAGCCATCACTGTCGTCCGAGTTGGTATTGCCTCTTGAATCTAGCAGGCTGGTCGTCTCTCCGGCATTAGCTTCTTCGGCCTCCTTGAAGGCGCGATGTTTGCGGGCCGATTTGAAAATGTAGGACGCGACCAGCAGCGTGAGAAGAGAAATCCGCACAGAACCTGCGGAAATCTCCAATGCCTCCCAACTTGTGATCTTCGTACGTAATCTTCCGCCGAATGGATCGTCGATTGTAGGTTCACGGTGCGGACGGAAAAATATTGAGACTGAAGTCGAGAGAATTGCTACCTCGAAAGGAATGGCCGACAGCCATGGGACGAATTGCGCGATTGATGGTGCAGGGTTTGTATCGAGTAAAGAGATGAAGATGGCGGTATGAGAAAAGAAAGACCCAACGACAAATACCTAGTTTATTTTATCAGTTTTGGTTTCAATTTTTGAAACAGAAGTCTCACCACCACAGCTTGACCACACCACCACTGCTCTGACATTGAGATTATAGCATGGGCCATATGAATCGCTGCCTCTGCAATATAGGTTGCCAACACAAAAAGACATAGCCAAACAAACCAGCCCTTGGATCTATTCCGCGCAAGCTCCGTGGGCAAGTCCCTGGCTACTGCCATCATCATTCTTCGAGTTCGACTAGGCAGTGGTTTTCCACCGGGGCCATACTGTACTTCAGTATTCCAACTGGCATTTTTGGCTACCTGGGATGAATGGACTAAAAAGTCGACAAAAAGAATCACTAGCAAAACCGGAGGATATGCAAAGCGAAGATATTGGAGCAATTCATGAGCAGCGATAGCCGAATCCATGGCCACAAGCTCTCGATAATCAGTGACTAGATCCTAAGGTTGACTTTGACCGGGTAGTTCAGACAGGAAGGATGGGAATCTCCCGGGAAGGTGTGCGCGATCGTCTTCCCATGCGGGGCTTTGGCTGCGAGACTGAAACCTGAAGGTTCATAATTGGGCTGTCGTGTACCCATGTTTCAATCTTGACCGTGGTGCTGTCAATCAGTGGTCAATTAGTGAGGCCCCGGATCGAGACTAGTAACGCCACTGTAATGGCTAGATTGGCTAGTAATTTTCCATGCAAAATTGTGTTGCACATCGATCCATGTTTGACCTGAAGATCGTGCCAAGGTCACCAGTCTTGGAACTTGTGTACTCCATATACTCGGTACAAATGGTTGATATTTCCAGTACGTGTACTTTTACTTGTACGTAGGTGCAAATTCCTGATTTTGCATCTATATGCTTGCGGAAGTTACCATCGGATCCAGCGATTTGGCTCAGGCATTCAACTTTATCCTTATTTTGATCAAACTTGGACACCGCATGACGAACAAAAATAAATAGACTGAGAGGGAAAGAGACAAGAATTTAACTGAATATAGTATCGTTGGCCCGTTCTACCGGCAAATATATATATATATATAATCCTTAAATATGCATGTAAAGGTTTCAAGCGTCTACGATCCTTTATCCTTAAGTTCAATTTGATCAGAGGATTTGCCTACCTTCTGATGATGCAGTGTAGATCAATAAGATGATCTGGGTTTAATTACCGAGATTAGGTGGATTGACCAAGCATCGTATTCGCTATGTGTCATTTACCTGTAACGATTTGACATATTACCGCGCCGTGGTAGGCAGTGCCAATATTACTGCAGCCAGATTGCGAAATAACCTGGTTTTATTTCCAGTATATTTTGACTCTCTGTTGGTCTTTTCCCCATACGGAGCACTCCGTAAAGTTTATTATTAGTCGTAGTCAATGCATATCCCGAGATTAGAATTTGCAATGACTATACGAGGAGCAGCTCGCGTGATAAATTGCCCCAAATGGTAGACATTTATTGTGGCATGATGTGACTTGACGTAGAGATTTAGAATTTACATCTGATAAAATTACCACATAATTTATCAACCTATGTTGACTCGAACTATTCAAGGCATATATATGGAGTACAGTACAGAATATGTATGCTCAAAATATGCGACCTAGGGTTGGATGTATTTCACACCGTTCAAGCCGTCGTATTGTGGTCCAGAGTTCATAGACTATAATATTTCTATTTGCGCGATACCAAATTCTGGAAAGACAATTGATCCGTACGATACATGATTCCTAAGGTTAAAGTTCGGGACGGAGCAGCGGGAAGAACCGTGGTTTTGGGTGGGTCGACCTTTTGGCTCCCGGGTACTTCATCCGATTTGCTCTCGCTCAACTACATAGCTCTTCAGCTGCAATACGATAGTAACTGGTAAGCTGACCACTTTTGATCAAAGTATCAGGCTGCCACGGAAGTAGGCACAGTGGCTTGCTTATGGACAGTCCACTGAGATGATTCTCCCTAAAGCAGATTTGGCCGTTGGAGTTGGGCCTGTGCTAACAACTGAGGCGCGTGACGCGAGTGAATGCGCCAATACAATCGGCCACGAGCCAACATGATGGGTCCTCGTTTCCATGAACTAGTACTAGGCGTGTGCACGGGTGATGCTTGCGCGCAGCAGCGACAGCCGAACGACCTCTTTCGAGTCCTCCTCGCTGGTCGAGCAGATGATCCCGCCAAAGGTTTAGATGATGCTGTGTACGCTGTGCGTAATATCGCACTCTCTGGAAACGATATCTCTTTGGACGTACTGGGACTCCCAGCAGAGGACGTGGAGCGCTGGAAACAGGTGGTGGACGAGATGTCAGGCATGCCAGCCCTTGTCAGGTTGCACCCTTTCTCCAATGATCCTAACGCGGTGTCGAGGTTCTACTGCAACGCGGACCTGGTGATTATGCCATCAATGCACGAGGGATTCGGAATGATCTTCACCGAAGTTGCCGGGCTGGGCGTTCCCATTCTAGTGACGCAGGAAAGTGGTGCGGGCCAGCTTGCGCTTGATCGCAGTCGCATTCCGTCAGAATCTGGTCAGGCTTGTGTGTTGATGGATGAGAGCACATATGGAATTGTGCCTTCACCGACAAGCCAGCGTGTAGCCCTTTGGGCTCATCGGATAGACCAGGTGAGATGCTACCCGGAGCAAACGAGGCGGCACGCTCGCTCTCTACAACGAATCATGCGAGGTTATTCGTGGAAACACGCCGCTAAGGCTCTGCTTCGCTCCGCGATAGAGGGCAAGGGAGATACAGTGCAGATGGCTCATGGCAGTGTTGCACCGGCATATTCATCATGGCCTCGTCCATCACTTGGGATGAGCGTGGTATCGTCAATGCGTCGAGCTGCACGGATGCGAAATCGCAGTGGAAAGCCGAACTTGAAACAGGCCGAAGATATCATGCAAAATCTTCCAGAGATAGCTCCGACTATTTCGGCGCTAGAAGAGCATGTCTCTTCTGGTGGGATCTCCTGTCAACTTGCGGAGTCTGGATCCCACTCACCCTGGTGGTTTTTCTGGTGCTATCATTTTCTTAGCTCATGCCAACGATGAATTTGTTAACGGAGAGACATCGTTGGCATCCAATGACTCATTCAGAGGCCGTGTGGTTGCTGTAATTAAACTGTTCGTCCACGGGTTGGACAACGGGATCACGGAGGAATTGTCGAGCCTTGAATGGCTTCTCTTGCAGACCAACGGTGACATCAAGACTGCCGCCCCGTTGGCCGTTGGGCGGATGACGTGGGATACTAAACCAGCTGGTGTAGTCACGTATCAAGTTGCCCCCGGGATATCCCTTTACCAGCTCATGATGCAAATGAGCCGCCTGCCGCCGGGACCTGCGAGACGAGAGATGCTATCTAGAGAGATGCTATCTATTTTCACTGCAGGCGTACAAGCAATTGCACGTACCTTAGCCAGATTACACACTTATAGCGTTGAAGGCCGTCCAGGTACAAAATATCTCGAGTGGTATTTTACTGCGGCAACGAAACGAGTCCAGCAGGCATTGGTGTACAAAGATATTATTCGTTCCGCGGGACTCGAAGCGGACCAGCTCCCCGCTAAAATGAATCAACTTATTGCCGACTGCAAGCGTGATATTGCCACTCGCCCGCGCACCGCTGTCGTGCACGGGGATGCCCATCATCCTGGAAATTTATTGTATGACCGCGCGACGGGGCATGTCACTATGATCGACACGACGACGCTACACTGTTCTCTGGACGAGAATGGTGAGCCGGTTGGGGTACCAGAGCGAGACCTAGGCCATTTCGTACATATGCTGCGACGAACAGGCGAGCAATATGGCCTCACGAGACAGGAGATGGAAGAAAGCACAACCGATTTTGTGGATGCGTATCTTGGAAATGCAGCGGCACCAGCCAACCTCCAAATCATTCGGTTCTTGATGTCATGTTCAGCTCTGTCATTCTTGAACTATGCGGCGCACTCAGATCAGACATAGGTAGAACTGCAGGTTAAAATTTTGCAGGATTTATTTCGCCTTGGAGAGGAGGGTTGGGCACAATTGGATGGAATGCGAGGTTTATAAATAGGAATAAGTGGTTGTCTTGCTCTTAGATATTGTTTCAGATCTCAGGATCTAATTTAGGGGTTATGATGATAATCGACACTGTTGGATATGTTCGATACCTCGATGTATTTTCCCTTTCCGTCTCTCTGCGTTCTTTTGATCCCTCAAGTAGATCTAGTCGGACCCAGAGTTTGCCAGCAAGTGTTCATCCTTAGACAAAATGTGTCCACCCATCTTCTTGGCCCACTTTCTGGTGGTAATTCTAACAGAGTGTGCCGTATTTCACGATGCCACATAATGGTGCTGGTAAAACAGATCGATAAAGCCAACAGAGAGGCGTCGGTAAGCAGCTGGACTCAGATGACTGGGGAGAGAGTGGGTTTGGAATTCACATGATATGATTTCAGGTGCCTTCAGCTTAAGCTAATAGCTGTGTCCATCCTGAGCGTGGCTTTCGCAGCTCGATCCCGGGATATTATCCAGCATTCATGAGAGAATTCGAGTGTCAAAATTCACGTCGCAAAGGGGTTCGCGTGGATAGTAACGTTATTGATCTTGAATGCTTTAAAGCTATCACCCTCCTTGGGTTGAGAAACTTTTCCTTTCTTGTCGACCTTAACATTTGCCTTCTCGAGCTTGGCAAGAACATCACCGCCTTCGTCCTGGGGGGGTCAAATTCAACACTTTCCCAAACACAGTACTGGCGCCGTCAAGATGTGGTGCCGGCACGAACGTAATGAAGAATTGGCTCCCGTTGATCGTTGCGCCCGTTGCGCCCTGAGAGCCGGGCGCCGTCCTATCCTTCACCGGACGAGATGCCATTGAGAGAATGCCCCGTGCGTTGTGTCGCAGCGACGGGAGATGGATCTCTTGGTTCATTGCTGCCGGGTGATAGATCGATGTGCCACCTTTCGGAATCTCGAAATCGAGCATTGGTTTCGTACTGGTTTGATGCGCGGCGGGGCCGAGAGAGATGTCTCCGCCCTGGACCATGAATCCTGCGATGAGGCGGTGAAACGGCGTGTTATTGTATGCGCCACATGCGCAGAGAGCGAGGAAGTTCTCCGCCGTTTGGGGTACTGCTTCGCAGAAAAGCTCGACCTTGAGGTCGCCTTGGGTGGTATGTAACTGTTGCAACCGTAATTAGCATCTCGCCATGAAAAAAGAGTTTCAGACATATTCTGAAGCATAATTCATATGTGAACTTACTGTAACAGACATATTGAGGGGATCCTGGGAGGTAATACTGAACTGCAAGAGGACCAAATGCGGAATCGTGACCAGGGCCCGATAGAGTGCTTAGTCATCTTTCCTTATCAATTCGCCAGGCAATTGCAGATGTTTGGTTGTCAGTCCGATCCCTTCAATTCAGACAGAGTTAGCTCAATTTGAAATCTTGATACGCTGGAAGGTTCTCGGGAACTACCTTTTGCTTTTTGCTGTCTCAACTGTTCCTGGATTTCCTGCGTACGGCCATATCCTAGTTCGCCCTTTCCTCAAGCAAGCCGACTTGATCCACAACATCTCAAGAACAATGAACAACCGACCGGTGGAACAGGCGTTGAGCACATTGGTGCCAACCCATGCCAATGATCTCCCACAAGAACTACTCAGCTATGCAATGTCACTAGTGGCACAGTCCCGGAGCTTCTCGAGCAGTCTAAAGCCCGAAGAAGAAATCGCTCGACCATATGCCTGCTCCGAAATCGCTTGCAGAAGGTGTGCCACAGGTCCTGAATGAAGTCTTTCTACGGCTGGCTTGATTCTAATATGCAAATTGCTTACACCTGGCTTCTATAGGCTGACCCGAGCTCTTAAACTTCCTCCACTGCTCGGACATGCGCCATGTCCTCCGCGCGTATACAAAAAGCTTTATTCATACCTCGACCGATCTCTCACATCAAGCTCCACTGGCCTCAAACGCTCAGCAAGCGGATCAGTTCCAGGCACACCCTCACGCGTCGGCTCAGCGCAGACCACACCAACGAGGGGCACGGCAGCCAGGAACACCCCTTCCAAGGCAGTAGCACCAACACCACGAGGGCTACAAAATACACCTTCAAAGTCTACACCATTGAAACGAAGTATGAGCACGGCAAACAGGCTCGAGAGTCCCTCGAAAACAGCAAGAAAGGCTACAGTCCCCCGAGCGAAGGATATTCATGGGTCAACCATCATTCCAGATGCCCCGGCTTGGGTAATGACAGCCATTCGGACTGTATGCAAGATTCTCTCGACACCTGCCCCGCGCACAAACACCTGGTCTAGGCCTCCAATCTCGAGGACCTTGCCTCCGCATATATTTTCTGGCGTGTCGTCTGTCCTCTATCTTACGTCGAGCATGTCCAACGACGAACCGGGATGGGACCGGGAGAGCTTGGATTTCTTGGAGCCTATTGTTTCTATCAATGGCTCTGATAAAGACGATGATTTCAAAGAACTGGTCTACGCCATGGCTGTGGCTGTGTACTTCCTTGTGCTTGCCCGTCGGCGTAACCCTGGGCCAGATGCAGATGCGGACATCGAAGCGCAGAAGATGGACAAGAAGACTTTTATTGAAATGCGTCAGACAGCATTGAACAGCCTTGGGCTCAAGGCTAATGACCGGAGACATCGCGATGATGTTGACCAATGGATCACTCTTATCATGGAGCAAGGGTGGGCCAACGGCCAGGAATGGTTCGAGAATATCCCGTATGCTGGGCAGCTCTATGGTGAAGATGAGGAAGGCCGTTCCTACCAAGACCTAGATGAAGAGGATGCGACACTCAGGGGTGTTAGGCCGCCTAAACGTTCGGCAGCAGGGAGTGGGACTCGTGCCTCGCAGTCAGATCATGCTCCGCGGGGCGGTCTTTTACCCGGCCTGGGGACGATGATGCAGGATCGAATTGACTGGCTGAGTGACGATCGTCAAGAGGATTATGTGAATTGGAAAGCGGATATCATCTCCCGTATCGGAGGTGCAGCTGCTTAACTCCCGTCCGTCATGCGACGAGAGATTATTGCCATTGGGACGCAGCCTGCTAATTCAATTGATACCCCAAGATATGAATCAACATGTAATTTCTATATTCATCCTCGATAAGCAAAGAAATCGGGTTTGCCATGTCTATGTTTTGATTGTATGCGCCTTTTGCTCCAGAGCAACCCAATGTCCCAAGTCAATATTGTGGTAACCCAACTCCATGCGCCGTCAATGGCGCCAAAACCAATGGCCACTCATTCTCAGTACCAAATGCTCCTGGTCCGGTGATGAGGTATGGACTCATTTTTCTCTGCCTCTAGGTTCTTCATCGTGTCGTACAAGAAGAAGTCGATGAGAATCGCATTGATGCCATATGTCTTTCCCGGTTTTTCCACGACCTTCAATTTATCACCCGACTCAATCGAGTTCTCATCCGAGTTCTCATCCGAGTTCTCGGTTTCGGAGTTCTCACTGCCGTTTGAAATGCTCTTTAAAGGGGGTTTTGGCGGTTCATTTTGACCTCCGGGTGTTGTTTTTCGATCTCTCGTTTGATCAACTCAACACACCAGATACTCGTTCCACGAAGCTCGATCTCCCAGTTTGAGCCTGGCTCGATGGGCTTCAGGTCACGGATATGGCTTTCCAATTTAGGTGCGTAGCGAAGACAGTTCAGCTGGTGTAGCATCTGCGGAATGCGGTAGTCTATAACATACGGTTAGGATGGGTTTGACGGGGTGGTGAGGCTTGCAAAAGTCGTACCTGCAAACATGGTGATCTTGTCAATGTCGTGGAATTCACCAAAATCTTCGCCATTGAAACAGGCCCAGAGATCAGCAACTAGAATCTGAGCACGTTTGTACAGTCGGACTCTCTTTCCGTGGAAGACTGTCTCGTCGCGGAAGCAGGCAAAGCTCTCTGTCAAGATATTGACCAGTCCTGCGGCGGAGAGGTTGGCGCTGTCGATGCAGTTGACGAAGCTGCCACCGAATTCCTATGTCCGGTTAGTATAACTCGTTTAGCCAAGGTAGTGAGGGATAATACCTCGCAAAGGACCTCGCCCGCTTCACGTAGGCACTGCACTCGTTCTTTGAACATAGGAATTTCTCCATCTGTTGCAGATTGGAATACATGTTTGAGTAGCTCCTCTGTGCATCTCTCTTCGTCCACCCAGAAGTCGGGGGTTGTGATTGGAATATCTGAAGCTGGGGTAAGCAATCGTCATGCCAGAAGTTTTTCTCATTTACCGGGACTGACCTTCATCAAGAGCTCTTTGTAGCGCAGCAACCAGACTCCAATAACCAGTCCACAGCTTGCCACGATATTCGATACAAAACCGTTTTGGCTCTTCCTCCTCGTCAGACCAGAAACTAAAGTTCAACAAGTCCATTGTAAAGATGAAATCGACTGTGTTCTCATCTTTGGTCTGTGGGTGTAATTCGTGCTCCGACCAGGTGTGTGTGGAATACTCTTTCTTCTGCATCATACGCCATATAGTTTCAGCAGCACCTTTGGTATGAGCAAGGCTGACTGCGATATCAATCGCATTGTCGAAGACATACTGAGCCCCCTCAAGCACTTTGGTCTCTGGTGGGGCATCCTTTGGCCTTTCACCTAGTCCGAAATGCTGGCGAAGAAGCTCTACCAACTCAGGATCGGCTTCATCGTCGGAATTGGCCTCGACTTGATCATTTCGCTGGGCCGGAATTGGGTCCAATGATGGCATGATATTTGTGTTTGATCTTGATTGAAAACCAATGGGAAGATATGAAGTCAGGGGTATCTCCTTTTGATATCGAAAGGATTTCCTTGCGGTGAGTAGCTAGTCTCGGCAGATATTCCACCCCACCTGGATGTTGGAATCCTTTTGAGGCTAAAACAAGGAAACGTGTATAAAAAAATACTTGAATACGACGAACCCTTTGAACTATCCGTGTTTTTTTTTTTTTTTTCCTTTTCTTTTCTCGCCACACCGAGATTTGATCCGACGGTCTTCTGGATAGAGTCACCAGTTATGTAAGCAGGCACAATATGCCCATAATGTAGTTATCTGGAAAGCTTTCAGATATACACCCATGGTGGTATTGGCCTGTGATATTGACTTGTGTCTAGAAGTATTCACGATAGGTACAAGGGAGATCTGTACGTTACAATTCAGTTTATAGTAACACAGGCTCTGCGGGTCTGGCCTACCTGGTACCTGATCAGAGGAATATATGGATATCATTGTCATGACCATGAAACAAGCATCGTCTATTTTGGGATCAAACTCAAGCTCATTCGTTCTCCAAAAGATGGTGATTGGAGTATACGCGCCTACATATATACATTTGTCGGAATACAAAGATAATCACTTATAGAAAATATCACAAAACAACTTCAATTATATTCTACATCACATGTTCTATTCATTTGTTTATCTATTAATCAATTCACAAGAAAGAAAGGAGAAAAAACAAAAAGAAAAGAAAAGAAAGAAAGGTGTAGAGTGAAAGTAAATAGAAACCCACGTGTGAGGCTCCTAGCAAGTGCCGTCATCGACAACGGTCACTGTTTCCGGCTTCTTCCACTTGCTCCCTTCTTTTGACCTTTTCTCCCTTCGCAATTTATCGCTAGAATAGACACACCACTACATCACCACATCACTACACCATCCAACCTTTACAACACTACAACACTACTTGATCGCGATCTCTCATCTACTGCCCGCCATGCGGGATAGCTCCCTTAAGCGCTCCCTTGGGGTGGACCTTACTCGTTCCCTCAAAGAGGTAAGTACAGCACTGCTGGCGCGTAATCCTGGCGTTCAAGTGACGCTGGCCTGAAAATATATTCTGACAGTTCTCTTATCGCGTATAGTCACGCGTTCTGCTTGTCGGCGCAGGCGGCATTGGCTGCGAGCTACTGAAAAACCTCGTCCTGACCGGGTTCGGCGAAATCCACATCATCGACCTCGATACCATTGATTTGAGCAATCTCAATCGCCAGTTCCTGTTTCGACATGAGCATATTAAGAAATCAAAGGCCTTAGTACGTCGAACCGATCCACCCCCGCGCACTTGCGCCGCTCCCTTGCAATAATCCCTCACTCAAGCGCCGCACATTCGGGTTGTGATAGTAGATATGGAATACTGAGATATGGATCCTTTCATCTAGGTTGCCAAGGAAGTCGCGCAAAAGTTCCGGTCTGACGCAAAGCTCGAGGCCTACCATGCGAACATTATGGACACCCAGTTCAACGTCTCGTGGTTCGAGTCCTTCAACGTCGTGTTCAATGCGCTAGACAACATCGCCGCAAGACGCCATGTGAACAAGATGTGTCTTACAGCCAATGTACCCTTGATCGAAAGTGGAACTACTGGCTTCAATGGCCAAGTTCAAGTTATCCAGAAAGTATGCAGCAAGAGTGATGCCTGGCTCTGCAGATTGATCGTTTATTGACTGCGCATTTTACTAGTCGCAAACCGAGTGCTATGATTGCACACCGAAACAAACCCCCAAGTCGTTCCCCGTGTGTACGATCCGAAGCAACCCAAGCCAGCCGATTCATTGCATCGTTTGGGCGAAGAGCTTCCTCTTGCCGTAAGATCGAGTTCCTAACATTTCTGTTTCGGATGCTCACCTTTGAGTAGGGAACTTTTCGGCGATAGCGAAGACGAGGCACCGGAGGTGGACAATACAGAAAATCCCGATAACGGTTGGTTCAACCTCATCTATAACTCGGCGCTGGAACTGACACCCGGCCAGCAAATGAAATTGCAGACCTACGCAAGGAAGCACTGGAGCTCAAAGAGTTGCGACAATCTATTGGCACCGAGGAAGCCCACGAGAAGGTCTTTGATAAAGTTTTTCGAAGGGACATAATGCGATTGCAGGGCATGAAGGAAATGTGGAAGGAAAGGGAGGTACCGGAGCCCCTTGACTTCGCTCGACTCCAAGAAGAATCCGCTTCGATTGCCTCGACAATCTCCACGCATGACCAGAAAGTATGGACATTGGGGGAGAATTTCAGTGTGTTCAGGGACAGGTAAGAACTGTTTGTCGCCAACGGAATATGCTCCACAAGCTAACACGCTACAGCTTGAACCGGTTGACCCATCGTCTGAAGCAACTTCAAGAAAAGAACCAAGATTCCCCCATCCTAACATTCGATAAAGATGATGTGGACACCTTGGACTTCGTTACCGCAGCATCTAATCTCCGAGCTGCCACTTTCCAAGTCGAACTCAAATCCAAATTCGATGTCAAGCGTGAGTTCATCAAATAAGGGTGCATATTCCAAGTCGATCATTATTGACAAAGCTTCTACAGAGATGGCGGGCAATATCATTCCTGCCATTGCAACCACCAATGCCATGACGGCCGGATTATGTGTTCTTCAGTCACTGAAGGTGTTTCAAAACAATTTAATGCACACCAAAATGGTAAGAATTTGGCAAGGGTGCTCGCTAGTACTGAAGCTAACAGGCTGTTTCTCTGAAAGGTTTTCCTCGAGAGATCCGGTGCTCGTGTGATCAACTCAGACTCATTAAACCCCCCAAACCCCGATTGCGCTGTCTGTTCCCCCGCGGTGGCTCGGGTTGAAATTGACCCCGAGCTAGCAACTCTTGAACACCTCATCCAGGGCGTTCTTCGGATGGAGCTGGGTTATGGCAAGGAGGTTGCCGTTGCTTTTGGCAATCAACTGATGTACGACCCTGACTTCACGGACAACCTGGTAAAAAGGTTGTCCGACCTAGACATCAAGAATGAGAGTATCGTCACGATCGTCGATGAGAATGAACAAGACACGCGAGTCAATCTTGAGTTGGTGATCATTGCAAGGTAAGCGCCATATTTTCAATAACACTGGGCAATATTGACTGATTGACTTGCAGAAGTGAGCCATCTTCCAAGGACTCCAAGCCCGCCACACTGCAGAAGTCGGTTGAAATACCGCTGAAGCCCGAGCAGGAGAAGCCCGAACAGGAGCAGCCCGAGCAGCCTGCGCAGCCTTCTACCGATGACCCGACAGTGACTGGGAAGCGCAAGCGTGAGGGCTCAAGTGACGAGGTGGAGCTCAGCAGCCACGATGCTAAACGGCTCGCCAGTGCATCCGTTCCTGACTCGAATGGCGTTGAAGCTATCGTTCTTGATGACTATGCCAACGATGATGAGGGAGGTGCGATCATGATCGACGATTGAATGTTGCAGACAGAACTTCACGTGACATCTCAAGGTATTACTAGCAGCCATCACAGTTGTTTATCTTGATATCATGCTCTTCATACTTTCGGTATTCCCCCTTTTCATTTTGCTTGCTACCTATTCCCTTCAAACTCTTCTGTATCATATGGCATAAAGGCGAACCTGATTTCAGTCAAGCGGAGGGGTTCAGAATCCCAGGTTGACGGGCATGCTTTGGATATGGACATGATAATGCATTATGGGACTTTTGTATCTCAACTGCTCAATAGACCTTTTCCGGGTTAATAGATACCTAGAATATGGCATGAGAATAACAGCACAGTATTAAGCTCACGTTTAGGTTGAGCCTTGCGGGAATTGAGGATCAAGTCGAAGGAGTGGAGACTGGTAAGGACAAGTATGGGCAAAGAATTTGGAGTCGATGTTTGCGAGATCCCCGACTAGTATATGGTGTTTTCTCGCTTCAAACGGTTCAGCTTAATAACTCACATAAATTACACTGTAAATCCTATAAAGAACAGAAACATATGGAGAGCCGGATGCCGTCTCGATGGAGTCTAAAAAGTAGATTGATATATACAATCTATGCATTACAAATACACTTGTTTCATTGGTATCACACGTTTCACTTGACTCGAATCAAACGGCACTCAACCCACCATCGAGATTGAGCACACAGTTGTTAGCATATTCATTCTGTGCCAAGAACACAGCTGCATCGGCAATCTCGCGTGGATTTCCAAATCGATGAAGAGGAATGAGATCCTTCAGCCTGCTCGTTTCCCCGGGTGTGAAGTCTAGCATCGAAATTAGCTAACGCACGAACAAATACAGAATGTCCAAGCCAACATACCTGCAACCATAGGTGTTTCAATATACCCCGGCACAATAGCATTTGACCGAATCACAATATCTTTCATCGAGGCTGATGCCTCAATAGCCAATGACCGTGTCAGACCGAGAAGGCCAGCCTTGGAAGCAGCGTATGGAACCGCGCCAGTTCCACCTTTGAGCGCGAGTAAAGAGGAGACGTTAATGATGCATTTCGACGGGGGTTTCGTCCCCGCAGCTGGACCACTCCGATTCCGAATCCGACTGCGGATAGAGGCACGCATTAACGCGCGTGAAGTGAGAATTGCGCCTTCGAGATTAGTACGTAGGATTGTGGATATATCTTCCAGCTCGGATCTTGGCAGAATGTTCGATATCGAAATTCCTGCTGCGTTGACTAGGATGTCCACATTTGCCTAGATAATGGTTAGGAGGAAGTATTCGTCAAGATAGACGAAGTGGCTTACCATCTCCTTTTCGAGTTCCCGCATCCATGGCCCAGCATTTGATACGTCCCCGACAAGTAGACGGATCTTTCCTTGCATGCTTTGCTGGTTGTCTTCTTCTGGGGCGCGAGTTGCGACTTCATCATTGCTCTCACCAAGTTCGGGTAGTGTAACTGCGAGAGGCTCGAGTTTTGTGGCTGCTTCCTCTAGGCGTGTTTGAGATCGGCCGACGAGGACTATGGTTGATGCCCCTTCTTGTAGAAATCGTTCGGCAATGGCGAAGCCGATGCCGGATGTCCCACCGGTGATCATGCATTTCCGGCCGGCCAGTCGGCTTCCAGATTGGAATGAAATGTGGTTGTTCTCATTTGGCTGGGATGAGTATGATCGCTTTGTATATCCCACAGGATGACTTGATACTTGGCTGTTGACGTAGCCTACATTGCGTGGACTGATCGGCCTTGATGAGGATTGAATAAATAAGATTGGCACTCGCAGGCGAATTAGAGGAACTCTCGAACTGCTCATATTGTTTGCCTTGCCCTTAACGCTACGCAAAACGCGATATCGGGAGGGTCGGGTGCGTCACTGGGGCAGCTTCAGCACGGACCAACACGCCAACCTCATAAAGGCTCTTTCGCTCCACAGTGGTCATCTTCCTACAACTACGCGAATACGCGTGCTTTATCATGGCGCAACCCACGGATTCCGAGTTTGTGACTATAGTCTCAGATGACGGATTTGAATTCATTATCCCTCGCAGCACAGCTTATGTCTCAGAGACCTTACGCATCCCGCTTTCTTCGAGTACGTGGACTCGAGATCCATTGCTCTATGGGCTGTACTAACCACCCACAGCCAATTACCCCGAGGGTCGCGATGGTAAATTTGTGTTAAAAGACTTCTCGTACGTCTCGCGGTTATACTCCGCATTTTCTTTTGGTGCACATTGCTTACGAAGTTGTTTCTCTGCAGTGGCGTCATCGTCGAAAAGATCTGCGAATACCTTTGCTACAATGAAAAGCACAAGGACCAGGTCAATGTGCCGGACATGGATATTCCACCTGAGTTATGCCTGGAGCTCCTGATGGCTGCTGATTTTTTGAATACCTGATTTCGACATGGTGCCTCGGGGTCTTGGGTTTCTTATCGCCTCCCTGGCTGAGACCTCTGGTATCGATCCTTGTTTCGGCTGGCATCGTCTTTTGAAATGATTCACGACGCAACGGCATACGATATTCGACTTTTACGACAATAGCATGGGGAGTTCCGGACTTGGCTCACATAAATATGCTTGGTTATGGCGTTATGTCATGACATGTGTTCTATGGAATAGAATACATCTAACGTAATGCAATTCCTTTGCTGTACCAGTATCCTTGACTTTCCAAAAGACCTCTTATCCCATCTGAGCATATGCAAACGGTTATTACATCTATGGCCGAATTTGTCTAAAGATGATGGCAGATCAAAAAAAAAACCCAATGATAACGCGCTTGTCAATCTACCACTAGGCAAGGGTTTGGATCATAGGAGACAAATTGAACAACGAACCATATCAGTATTGTAGAATTCTATAACTAGTTAAAATGGGTAGTACTCCGTAGAGCAGAGCGTATTGACTTGACGGAGGCTGGGCCATCTGGGCACCTGGGCAATTATGGCGGCTGAGTCAGCAAGTACCAAATACCGAGGGCTGGGGCCGGCTCCACCGGGGCGAACTTCCAAGGAAGTGCCCGCCATCGTGAAGATCACTCCTTCATACATCTTGGTTTGCGGGATGCAGTTCACAGGAGCATTGCTCACTGTGGTCTTCAGTCTAGTCAGGAATCTTTTTGACTATTGAACAGTCTATTTGCCTATGTCCACGGTTGGATGCACTGGCGACCTTCTGTTGATTGCATTTCCCCGGATCACTGATAAGGGTCACCCGCAGCGGCGCATACAACACCGCCGCCTCATCATGTCAGGCATCGTGGAACCCTCCACAATACCAACCACATCTAGTACGGCTTTATTACAACAGTTGAATACAACCATCTCGCAGGACACTTCTTCTTTGTCCTCTTTGCCACATCAACTCTTGACCTCCCCCCTTCGCGCCTTCCAGCACGCTGAGACCTTTGCCCTCCGAACGGTTCCCCAAACCCTCGCCAGGATAACCGGAATAAAAGCACTTGGCCAAACCATCTGGAGGGGAGCTGGTGCAGCAGCTGGAGCCAGCGGTACGGCCGCAACACATGCAGCGGATATGGCTGGAAATGAGTTCGCCGATGCAGCCGGCCAACAGAGTGGCTACTACATTGCTGAGTTTTTAGGTGCTATGAAGAAGCTCGGTGGATTCTTTGGATATCTGACAAGTCTCTGGTCATTTGCCTGTCTAGTGGAGGTGAGACCCCGCTTTCCACTTGGATACTTACCATGCTAATAGGTATAGGCGCTCATCCTCAACCGAATTACTATCTATGCATCCACACGACGACACCTTCGACTAGGATGGGAAAGGCGTGCGGCTCTCCGATTGATCCCTATCGTTCTCTTCGCCTCTCAAATCCTCAGCCTGCTCCGTGGAATCCGATGTCAGACATCGCCGTCCTTCTCAACAATGCGCTACGGATACCCCGGAAAGCAACTCGTGTTCGATTATTCTAGCGATGGGGGTGTTCTTTACTCAATTAGCTCGACCCTTTTAGGATGGGAGTCTGAGGAACGATCGTGCAGTGCTGTGAAGATGGCGCGCGGAACCAATCCTGGTGTCCCATATGGATCATTTTCCTTACTATGGCCGACATTCATGCTCCTTTGCTTGAGTCACTTTATTGAAACACTCTCGTGCGCATTACAAGGCAGGCCCGTGATGACCGAGACGGGGATGTCCATCTTCGAACACTCAATCGCCTTCGCAGAAGCCGAGTCGATGATCAGTAAATCCATTGGACTAGGCCTGTTTGGTCTTCCTAAACAAAGTCCACTCAGCGCGATCTCGGGCGGGTCTGATGAAAGTTCAACTTCCGTCTTTGAACTCCTCACAAGATCGCAAGTCCTGGAACGCATGAATGTCACACCCGAACTGCTACTTATTGTATTGATCTCATGCTGCAATAGTGCAACTTCCCACATCCTGGAAGTCTTCGGCAAGCAGAGCAAGTATCGGCTTTTCAGCACCGCCTTTTGGGGTGCCTGCTTCATGGTAGCTATGTCGTGGGGGTTAGAGGGCGGTCCGCCCGTCAGCCTCGAGACCGGCGTTCTCAGGTTCCCGACTGTTTGCATTGTGGGATTCATCCCTCACATCTTTTTATTGGGCGGCATCGTAATTTGTCTGTCAATATACATTCTAGCACTTACCATCACCGCTGTTTCGTTGCCTTCGGACGACCAGCCTGTCTCACTCTATGACCGTTTCTTGATGGCCCATGAGAATATGCAAGGCTCGAACCAGATAAGGAGCATTCGGATAAACAGACACGAAGACTTTTATACAACATTGCTTCGAATCGGCTATGTTGCCCTAACCGCAGCAAGTGAAGCCGTGTTCTTGAATGAGGGCCAATCAGTCGTTGCAAGGAGGATGACGTGGCTAGAAGAGGATCGCCTTTCTGAGATCGAAGCTTCGAGGCGGAAGTCTACATCTTATGGGAATTGGCAGAGCGAAGCTAGCAGTCGACCTATCGAAGCTATGGGTTTCTCAAGTTTCGACATGCCAGAACAATCTGCTTGGGAGAGTGGTTACAACCGCGAAAAGAAGATTGAGAAACCCAGAAACGGTGCTCGAGCCGTGCAATCTCGAGCCGAGCTTGGGGGAGTTGGTGCAGTGCGAGTATCTATTAGATTGTGGCATGTCCTCTCGTTCTTCCGCTCAATTTCGCTCATAATGCTCCGTTGGGCTGCATATGGGCTCAATAATGTGCTTGATCGACTGGGAATAAGGGCTCGGCCAATGTGGCTCAAACGCATTGTTGGCCATCGTGGAAACAAGTCTAGTATCGACAAGACAAACTTATCACAGCCATTAGATTTCTGGATCTTATCTGAAAATGGAGAGCTTGAGCTCCCCGATGACCATGACTTTGACGTCGAGATCGAGATGAGGAAGCGAGAGCGTGCGAATCGGCCAGACTGGATGGGTTCGGATGAAAGCCGGCTAGACGACAGACTGTACGGCTGGTGGAAAATTGGCGGTGCATGGGGAAACCAAGATCAAACCTCGGATTACTCCCCGCCCTCTGATGACTTTGACACCACGAGCGTGGTGTCCATGTCTACCAATGCTTCAGGGTCGGAATGGGAGGATTACCGCTCAGATGATGGTCGTCGAACTCCTACCCAGCTCGAACCGTATGCAGATAGAGCAAGCCCACCACTCCAAGATCCCCTAATCGACATGAGCACACTCGCCCGTCTTCTTGACCCGCGCGATCGAGAGAGTAGAGAGGAAGCCAAGATTCTAGCGGCTCATCTCAAAACAAACCAGGAGAGTCCACAGATCATGACGCGCAGTCGATACCAGAAACAAGTTGAAAAGGAGAGATCCCGAATCATCTTCTCATCCCGCCTCCAGCAGCTCAACGCCATGCACTCAGGATCTGAAAGGCGGAAACCTACCCCCGAAGAGGAAGCTGAACTCCTTGAGAAGCTCATCCTTTCCCGTCGCTCGGAAACTTCAGCTAGTCCCGATGCCCACACATGGGAATCCGGCGCAACAGGTCTCGGTCCCAATGGTCCACCCTGTGTGGTTTGTCAGACAAGCCCACGTGCTATCATCACCTGGCCCTGTCGCTGTCTATGTATTTGCGAGGATTGTCGCGTCAGCCTTGCCATGAACAACTTCGGCAGCTGTGTGACTTGCCGGCAGGAAGTAGTAGGGTTCATGCGTCTATGGGTTCCATAAGTCAACCTAGTTCCTCTCCACTTTCTTTTCTTAGCTCGGTTTCTCTTTCTCTTTGGCTCAGATAGGTTCCATATCATTGAACAATTTGTAACATATCAATCACACTTGCATGATGACCTTCAAGTTTTGTATGGCTTTTTTCGGACCGCTACTTCTCCATTTCCTAATTGTACACATTGTACGAGATCAATTCTGGGCGGGCTCGCATAGTGATAATTCAAGATCATTCAGTTCATACATTCGTTAGTACTATCAAGCTCTGCCGTCAAAAATCATCACATCTTTCAGTATTTTATCAAGAATTCGCTCCTCGAAGTTATGGCTTTCCCGGCAGATGATACTTACGCCAGACCAGGAAAGACAACTATCCACAACACTAGCATAGTCCATAGTCACCTTTTTATCGTCTTGAGTCTCATCTTTTGAGAGTAATGCATCTGAAGGCCGAGCGAGAGCTCCACGAGGCTTAATCCAAGTGATTGTAAAATAGACTCTCGACCTAGACGGTGTAGATGAGACTTCCAGATCACCTAGAGCAGATAGAGGCCACGAGAGATATATAAGGATACACATTCATTATTGGACCCTGCCTTATCCGAGTCACATCGTGAGCCCAATTTCTTTCAGCCGATATCGGTCCTCACAAATGTGCCATATAATATAGCCATTAATAAAATCCTTCCAAAGTTTCCCGGCAACATCTTGTTCTCCAAATGCGGTACTGACAACATACATGGTCTCGGCTGTTTCCCTGCAAATTTGCTGTAGTATATCATGAGGGCTGTAACATGAGGTACGAGCTCTGTTCATGATATTCGTATTGATCTCAGTTCCAACCACGGACTCCTTAAAGAATGATAGGATATCGTTCACATCGTCAATGATGTCCAGCATACATGCAATAAAGGGGACATAGGTCGGCAAGTGCCCATTTTCTTCTGCAAGGCGCTCAGGAAATATGAAATGGGCGTAAACTTCCCCAGCCCCGGTCTTGTCGCGTACAAATTTGGATGCTCTTCGTCCAAATTTTGCTGGAAGCTTCAGGGCTACAGCAACATCTGCTTCGACTATATTCCCCAGCATGAAATCAACTAGGCCTTTAGTAATGACCCCAGTTGAGTATGGGCCATACGTTCCAGTTTCAGTAGCAACGAGCTCCAACCACATATCAATAACAGTATCGTCACACTTTAAAGTGTGGAGCCCTTTGTGGGCACCGGATGAAACTCTCCGAAGATCGGCAAGGATATGTTCAAGGTCCTGTTCTGCTTTATCGTCCACATAGAGAAGAAAAGTGGTGTAAAGCGCAATATATCGTTTCAACTGGTGGCTAGCATGCGGATACCACTTATCTGCGGCGCTAGTACATGTTGGCAACAGCTTCCAGATGCGACTCAGTTGGTGCTCCTGGAGATTCCTAGAAAGGATCCATTCTTCGAGCTCTGCGTAAAGTTTTGTGTGAAATGGCCGGACTGCCTGCTGAAGGTCAAATCCAACATTATGTAACCAAGTTCGAAGGATTTCCTCTGTCTGCTTGTGGGTGCCTGTCATGTTGCTAGTCATCTTGAGCAGGAAAAAGGCTTGGAGAATAGAGAAACAAAGTAGAACACTGTTCAGATATGAAAAAGAAATAGAACAGTAGAGGTGTTGTAAGGCAGGTTCCAAAATAGAACCTTGGAATGGTATATATTTTGAAGGAAACCAGAATTTGTAGGATGAGAGCGAACACAGATATATATATAAAGGAGGCTTTGGCAGTTTACATTCCATAAAATATTTCCCGATCCTCCTTAATTGCAAGCTGAAACCTGGACAATAATGTTACACCATTATAGTTACGAAGTATACTTACTATCCGACTATATGTCTTCGTGATCTATCAGAGACTCCTGAATACTAGTTCTATTAACCTAGTAACTCTCAGCACGATCATGGTCACACTTGTTGATCATGCATCCTGCTTGGACTTAGGCTGTTACAGGACTAAGACCCCCTACGCCAGGTTGGGTCCTAACACTCGACTAAGGTACTGTAAGTATTCAATAGTAACCCCCCGAGTGGTATTGGTAACTACCTAGGTACCTAGGTAGTTATGTAGATCCATTTACATGTGTTGGGATGGGTGTCACCTGACCCTGTGTGACAGGACTATAGTCGTCTCCTCTCCCTCTTCTTCTTTTCTCCTTCTTCTTCTTCTTCAGTTAGCAGTTAGCAGTTACGAATACAGTTGCATTGCTCTCTCTCTCTTCTCTTGGCTTCTCACCAACACGGGTATGCTCCGTCTGTAGCAAGAAGGCTAGCATTCCCTGCAGCGCATGATGCCCATCTTCTTACACTGTTTTACAGAACAATTTCCTACAAGATATAAGGACGTCAGAAGACAGCAACCCTTCTGGGTCCACGGTCTTTTGATAATATCTTCTGAGTCACCTTTGCCCGGGGTTTAATACTCCTGGAAAAAGAATGTCCCAATCGCATTACTTTAAACCATATGTTTTGACACCCTTGGACCATTCAACTGCGCCAGTTCATTTCTCATTCATTGTCACTTTTCTTTGCCAAGATCCCGTCCAAGGATTATTAGTATTGGAAAAAGCTGCCCAACGCCTTACTACACTGCTTCCATTTTTATCAGGCAACCTTGTGCAATCCACTCAACTAAAGGGCACAAAGAATGTCTTCGAGGTACAGCCGACAGATCCATCCCATTTGAGCAAGCTACCTATGCTCAAGATAAAGCAGCATGCACAGTGTATCTCACCTCATAATGTCAACATGAACACCCCTGCCCTATCCTCCGATGATCTGTTCAATTCTGACTATATACCTCTCCCATTTTGTATACCGGCCTCTGAACCACAACCGCTTTTACGGCTACAAGCGAATGTGATGACCGATGGCATTGTTCTCTGCTTATCCTTCCACCACTTTGCCGTTGATGGTCTTGGAATATCATCAATTATGCAGGCTCTTTCTGAATGCTGCCGCAAACCTGACCCACCGCCTGAAAGACTTTTGACCTACCCTGAAGGTGAGGTACGAAGCAGGACAAAGATTTTCCAGAGCACAAATGAAAGTCACCTGGCCATGTACGACGGCTATGGGTCCTACACTTGGAAGGCAGCACCAAGCTCTGACCTTGGAGCCCCAGTCAGCCGCCGCTTTTGCCTCGACGCTGAAAAGATCAGACAGCTTCGAGAAGCCTGTAATACAACCATGTATGCTGGAAATTACCAGGCGCGCCGGATTGATTTGTCAAGTCCTAAATATGACGCGAGCTGGCAAGGCTTCTCCAACAATGAGGTCGTAACAGCTTTGATCTGGCTTTGCGGAATACGTGCACGGTCCCATGCGACATCATTAGAGAGTAATAGGCCTTCATTGGCAGATCGGCATTCTTCTCTCTTGTTTCCTGTTGATGTTCGTGGAATTCTCGACATTCCAAGGGCATATATAGGCAATGCGGTTGTCACTCTTACATCCACGTATAATTTCAAAGATACAGAGTTACATGATGTAGATCCTTTAATATGCCATCCAGTCACTAGTGACTTGCATGGATTTAGCCCTCGTGATATTACTCTTCTCACCAACCTCGCTCTATCAGTCCAAAAATCATTGCAGTCTGTCAGCCTCAACTATGTCCAGAATGTCATCTCGCATATCATGGCGAGTAAAGATTGGCACCTTCCCGTCAAGCCTGGTGATTTGTCAGTCAGTAGCCTGCGTTGCATACGGGTATATGATATGGACTTTGGCCCATATTTGGGTACCCCTTGCGACTTTGATGTACCGGACAACAGAACGGATGGTCTTGGCTGGATTATACCTCCACGTTCTGACTCTAGTGCTCGCCTATTAGGCTACCAAAGTCGGGGATTCTGGGAGGTTCGACTTTCACTAAGCCCAGTTGGAATGAAATCCTTTAGAACCGACAGGATTTGGCGACAGGTCACCTTGGACAACGCTATTACAGAATAAGTGCTATCCCAAACAAATTCCACCAGGAACTTGTTGGTGAGATTGATTATCCTGGTATGCATACGCATAGCCTTTAGTTCCGGTAATAATCATGAGGAGTGAGCTCTTGTAGGAGCTTACTCAGAGTCAGGTGCATGATTTGATCCAAGATTTAACCCAGCAGATCCCTAAATGTCCGAACCACACTACGATGACTAGGAAACCTTGCGATTAATTCTTATAGACCAGAGGCCGGTACTCAGCCTCCCACATCTGGACTTGAATCCACTCTCGCAGCTCCGAGTCAGTGGTAGGAATGCCCTCCGCCTGTGCCAGTCCCTCCTCCACAGCACACAAGATCACAGCCGCAGCAATATCCGCACTGATTTCACGCACGTCTTCTACATCGGGCAGCAACGGCTTGCTGGAGTCTTTCAGGGCCGGTGACCGTGCCTTGAGTGCCTCCACGGCAGCCACCAACATCGTCTTCGATAGGAGACGGCACTGCGAGAGGACTGCTCCAAGACCAATGCCGGGGAAGCAAGTTGAGTTGTTGCACTCCGCTGTAATATCGTGATTAATACGATGCGCAGTGGAGGTTTGAAGCGAGATTGTAATGCTTACCGATGTCATATTTCGTGCCGTTGTGGGTAACTGGCGGGAATGGACTGCCAGTGGCAACGAGGGCTCGCCCATCGGTCCATTCATAGAGATCAACAGGCTTCGCCTCGTGGAGTCGGGTCGGATTGCTAAGGGGGAATATAATCGGCCGTTCTACCTTCCTGGCCATTGCACGAATGATATCTTCGGTGAATGCTCCGGGCTTGGTTGATGTCCCGATAAGCACATGGGGATGGACCTTCTTAATTACCGACAAGAGATCTCGATCATCGTCTGGCCACGCGTCATCGTCTCGTGCGAAAGACTTTTGGCCTTCGGTCAACCTATCACCGAGGGACTTTACAAGGAGACCGGGCTTGTCGATGCACCTAGATGAAAAAGTAGTGTTAGTAGGGGTGTTATCCTGTGCTCGCGGATACATACCAGATCTGCCTAGACGCTTCATCCTTCGACTTTCGTGTCTCAGTGGCGATCGTATCCGAAATCTGGTCGGCAATGCCAGTACCAGCTGTACCCGAGCCAAAGATCACCACTCGCACATCTTCCAGTTTGACTTTGCTGACTTGAAGGGCCGCCAACATGGCAGCGAGTGTGACACACCCCGTGCCCTGGATGTCATCATTGAAACAAGGAATCTGCGACTGATACCGATCGAGTATTCTCCGTGCATTGTTCAGACCAAAATCCTCACTGATATTATTAGCTCTGTTTCGAACAACAAAGAAAGAACCATTTCTCATACAAGTGTATGTAAGCCTGCGGGAATCGTTTGCGGGCAGCCTTTACAAATTTATCCACAAATTTATCATACTTCTCCCCTCTGACGCGATGCTGCCGTAGGCCTAGATACAGTGCGTCATTGAGCAACTCTTCGTTCTGTATATGTTGTCAGCAAACGTGGGTTTAACCGGTGAATAGATATACATACATCTGTCCCACAGTCCAAAACAACAGGAAGCTGCCGCGAAGGATGGATTCCAGCACAGAGCGTGGTAATAACCAGTTTGGCGACTGATATGAGAATAGCGCCCACGCCCTGGTCCCCAATTCCCAATATCTGTAAAAAAGATCAACGGTAAGCAAAATCAGGAACTAATTCTTCGCTCATGCACATGTATAATTACCTCTTCTCCATCGCTGACGACGATATAATCAACATCCTCCTCAGTCCCAAACCCAGCGAGGTACTCGTCAAAGTGATCCTGGTCATTGATATTCAAGAAACACCCCTCCGGCTTCCTGAACAACCGCGAGTAATTCTGAATCGCTTCTCCTTCAGTGGGCGTGTATATCACGCTAAACATCTCCCTGAGATGGGTTTGCACGAGCTACTGGCAGGTTAGTAACAATGCACATGCACATGCCAATGTTGCCTGCCGGGAAGATGTCAGAACCTTGTAGTACAGTACTTCATTCTGCGCCTTCATGCTAGCCAGGAAGGTGTTCTTGGCTAGGTCATCAGCTCTGCTTTTGTACTGCTGATAAGCGCGCTGGACTTGCTCGTCCAGTGTCTGGATATTTGGCGGAAGGAGACTGTGAAGCTTGAATGTTGATCGCTCATTGTCTGGAAAGGCTGAACCTTTGTTCAATTGGGCTGATTGGAGGAGAGGTATCCCCCAGTTTCTGTGTGAGAATCGGAGTTCATGAAAGGAATTGCGGACTTATGTCGTCACCTTGTATGGGCAGATCAAAGGCCCCACGGCACGGGGTAGATTGCGAAACTTGGACATGGAACCTGACATTTCGAAGTGAAGTATTAACGGATGCAATATTGGAATAAGTAAATAAGAAAAAAAAACAGAAAGTACTGAGATATGAGGAAGGAATGTCCTACCTCCAGGGGTGGCCCCGTCATACTCAAATCAAGTTTTCGCCACCTCGGAGATATACATCATTCGATATATATAACTACACATAGACCTTATGATATAAATCCAAAGGATATGTATGCAAGAAAAGGAGACAAGTATTAGCTTAGCTTTGTATTCGCTGGTAAACATAAGAGACTAGAGGTAAGAATCCAGACACGGTGGTAAACATAAGAGACTAGAGGTAAGAATCCAGACACTGCTATGGACGCCCTCGAATCAGTATGGTGACCAAACTGACGACCACGGCGGAAATTTGTGTTGGGCCAGATTCATCCCGTGTTTGTGAAGGTGTAGTAGTCTCGTCCTGGGTGATAACAGCTTATTCTGTAGGAGCTGGGTATCAATTGGTTGGGGCCTGCTGGTGGACACTCTCAAGAACCTACTTCTGGAGACCCTATCCAGAATGAATAGTCCCCGGACATGGAGGCAATAGATCCTGCAATATTAAATGACCATTACCCTTCATATAGTGAGCAAATCTTCGAGTAATCCGCTGTCCATTCATGAACTAACAAAACCGAAGAGATCGTCAATATCGGGACCCATACCGTTGCGAGCGATGTTTCGAAAGCCATCCAAATAAAGCAGCCGCAGACTGCCAGACAGGTCTGGCCTATATATTCATCAATCTATCGTGTTAAGCTCGCCTTCTTCGGTGCCCTGATAAGTTCGTAGTAAAGCGGAGGATGTATTGTCATGGGACATATTATCTACGCACCATCGAAGCTTGTCAACGCAGTAAGCCGAAAAGCCTAGGAAGAATAATATAAGGGACACTCCACAAAATGGCCCAAAATCTTGACTCTTGACAACTAAACCCATAGACTGCAGGTTAAACTGAGGGTGGGAAAGTACAAATAGCATCTCAAATCCGTACCCTTCAATTTCTCCTTTATAATATAGTCCACATCGCAGCCTCTTTTCCAAATAAGTACATAAGCAGCAACCCATGCTTGAGCTGTGACCCAAAGAGCCTTCAAACGCCGCATAGCCGGTAGGTCCGGCACACAGGGCTGGTCCACTCTAGCTCCATATATAAGATTACTCCGTACAGAGTAGTCCTACTATGTGCGACCCAAGGAGATTAGCTATGGAGACTTGGGGCCTTAATTGTGGGTCCTACAGTCCCGAGATTCACAGAGTCTTCCCAAATCGACTTACAACATACATATGTCGCTAATATCCCTTTTTGAATCCATAATGTTATGTGAATAAAAGATTCACACTGACACTATACTATCACGCGTGCGTCGAGCAGGATCGTATGCTTTTCTTTTTAGCCATTGACTATTTCACTAACTTTTTCTGTTTTACGCTAGTGATGTAGCCCATTGCTAGCACTATTTTCGGTTAGTCACAAGTAAGCCACGGCGCTCTAATATCCAATAAGTGGTCAGATAAAAGTGACTCAACCCAATAGGAAAGTGTTGTCAAATTTAGGGCTTCCGGAGTATCCTACCTTGCCATGGTCTCGTCTCGCCTTCCGCTACCCATTGAGCAAAGCGCCATAAGCTAAGTAAATAGCTTGGTTCATTTCATTTAAAGGAAGGCGTTCATAAATCGCAGTTTGTACCTTTTCACTTCTCTTAAAATTTCCACTTCATCATCTAAGAAACAAAGAAGCATCAACATGCGTACCTCCATTTTCCTCGCAACAGCTCTTGCTACCCTTGGCACTCAAGCCGACGACACCAGCAGCGCCATTATTGGCTACTTCTCTCCTTCTTGGGATGCAGGCTTCCTCAAGTACGGCGGTTGGACAAGCACCGCCGCCAGCCTCGTCACCTACAACACCAAGGCCGCCACCTACCACGTCGGCTGTGTGAAAGATGCCCCTAAGACAGATTGCAACTATCCCGCTTCGTGGACGATCATTCAAGGTCCGGAGACAGTCAGCGTGACCGGGCAATATATCGCATCCACCTCGGACAAGTCAAACAGCTATGATCTCACTCTCACCCAGTCCTATGAGTGCTCTCTGAAAGCTTCAACCGAATCCGCCAGCTGCACTATGAGTCTGGGCATGAACGGATCCTTAGATGGAGGGAGCTACAAGTCTTCCACTACCAACAAGGCTACCTACACCACAGCGCCGATGTCCAATTCATACTACCAGTTAACGGTTACCGCCGGACTGGAGTCTGTTACCCTTACGACCCCCGGCGCAACCCTGACAACTGCGGAGACAACTTCGACTACATCTGTCGAGACTACTCAGTCAACTGGCGGTGCTGTTGGACACGCAGGTGCTTTGATCACGGCTGCTCCTATGGTTGCTGCTGCCGTCGCTGCCCTACTGTGAGGATTTCCGAAGATATCCTAGTTATATATAATAAATTACTTGTCATGACTTCACTTCAATTGGCTGAAGTGAAACAATGTTACCAACTTGGGCTATTTCATATCCGTGAGTGTGGCCCGCATTAACCATCTAGCCCATAGAGGGTCTTTTACTGTGAGAAATTTATCAATTGCCGCTGTAATATGTGTTTCTTAAATATGAGCGCCCAACGTATAGTGATAACACCAAACTATATTTTTCCTGCTGTCCAAGTTGAAGTGACTGATTTGGAAAATTTTCGGCCTATTAATTTACGCCTTTCTGTATGTAAAGCCTACAAATTTAGCCACTACAAGACGCAAGAGAACAGAATAAAGACCAAATTATAAACATCCGTTTTACCCAAAAGGCAAAAACAAGACGTTCATTGTATTAAGCATGTGAACTATACAGCGAGATGACCCCTTCAGGCGTGTCGCACAACCAACCCAGCCAGCAACAAAAAGGAAGCAAATTCCACCTGCCAACAAGAGCCAATCGCAAACACTGACAACAGCCTTAAATTAGGTATGGATATATTTACAGGACGTAAGCGGCGGCAGCGGCGAGAGCAGCAACACCAGCCATGTTGCCCTTGACATTTCCAGCACCGTTGAAGGCGGGTGAAGAGGAAGAGGCAGTGGCCGATCCGGTGGTGGTCACCAGCGGGGTGGAGGTGGCAACACCGGAGGAGGAACCGACGGGGGCGGATCCACCGGTGGTGGTACCGGCACCCGCGCCGGTGGTGGAGCTCTCGGTCTCAACAGCGGAGGAGGAGGACTCAACGGCGCTGGAGCTCTCGCTGGCAGACCCGGTGGTCTCAGCGGGGGCAGAGCTGGGGGCGCTGGTCTCTGAGGCGCTGGCCTGGGAGGAAGCGCTGGTCTCGATGGGAGGGATCGAGATAGGCTGACCGGCAGAGGAGCACTGTTCAACGACGGCGTTGGAGACAGCTAGATTGGTGGGTTAGTGGGGGTGTTGGGATTCAAAAGAGAGTAGGTGGATGTTAACATACAAACTTGGTCGCTGTGTTCGCAGGCCTTCGCAACACAAGGGGTGATGCTGGATACGAGCTCGGTCTTCTGGCAGTGGCACTTGAAGTCGAGCAGCTCGGAGCAACCATCGCCCTGCAGGGCACTGAGGAAGCAGCTCAGCTAGAGGGGAGTGTTAGTATATATATTCTTGTGACATGCATTAATTTTATTCGTACCGAGCAGGCAGGCACATTGGGTAGCTGGGCGCTGGCGAGGCCGGCGGCAGCGAAGGCAATCAGAGTGGTGGAGAACTTCATTTTGATGATATAGCTGGACTAAAAAATAGTTATTATGAACGGCGTGCCGGAAAAGACAGTCAAGTATGTATAGCGAGTGCAGATGAGTTGAGAAGAGCTGGGTCTGGATTTGGATGGGTGGTGCCCTTTTTATAAGCTTTGCCGGGTCCTATATACTTTACCTCCCCCATGGTGAAACCCCCTGTGGCAGGGTTGCACCAAAAGGTAGGCGCGTGGGACCATCACATGTCTCCGCATGCTTAATGGGAGGCAATCCACCGAAAGTAGGTCAAGGCCGCGGTTGACTCAGATCCGTAATTACCACGGATTGGAACCCCGGACGCTCATTGCATGGCCAAGGCAGAAAGGCTTACGCCGGATCCTGGGTTCCCGCAGCCGATTGAGTATTAGAACGAGAATGGCTGGTTGGTCCTATTGTCTCGTACGGCGTACGTATGCCCGCATTGCCAAGTTGAGACTAGACCAAGGCGAACGAGGAAGCCACCGGAAAAGTTGGACCAGTGGCAATGTTGGTACTACATTTCCCATTAGCTAGTCATACGGCCAAACAGGGTCACTAGCTTTAATTTCCACTGTGTTGGGCTAGACTCTTAGCGGCCTCCATGGGCGAAGGTACGGTACAGGTCGCAGTACTCCGTACATGCATATATGTAGCATACGTTGTGTAGCGTTCCCATTTCAAATAATCTTGAGTGGATTGGCTGGAAGCAGGATTCAAGCGTATGCAGGATAAGCCAAACAATGAATATTTGAATGTATGACAGCATGATTGACAAAGAATAAAGAACCACAGGGTGGCGAACCCCATAGTATCTGGTACAAGACATTTTGAGGAAAATCCGGGGAAGATACTTGGACCCCGGCAGGCCCCGGTAGGGCCCGAGAGAGCGTAGTATCGAACTATACCACATTGGGACTTGGTCCGACGCAATGTCTACAAAATTAATATAATAATAACAATATAACAATATATATGATATATATAATATATATAATACCTTGAAATTGATTTGGGGTTACACACGGCATTGTCATTTGGTTCCTCAAATGAAAGGCTCTAGAAAGGGTCCAAACTCAGGAGGCCAACCTTGTGAGCTACGGAAATTGTCTAATATAGGGCTCATGGATGTACAACGTAGTACATAGTAGCTCTCTGGGTCAGATAAAGGCCTCAAAGATACCCCGAAGGAGCCAGAGTTTCATTGGGCTCGATGATCATCTATTATCTTCCGGGATAACCGCAGACTAGCAAGGATATCAAAATACTGGCATCTTCCGAGAGATGAGTCGATCGTGAAATATTGTACCTGCATATGGCTCCTCCGGTATCAATATAGTCAAGATCTCACTTCCCGAGTGAACCATTTGTTTCCGTGAAAACGACATTAACACCGACGGGGGAGGGGAGCTTGTTCGAGAAGAGACCATGACCATCATAGCTCAGGCAAGTGAGACATTTAGCGGGGGTGGGCCCAGTCAAGACACAGACTAGACCATACGCTAGTATTTATTGTAGCGTGGGGTTTGGGGTAATACCCAGAAAGCAGAAAAATCAGGGACAAAAGACCAAAAGCATCAATCACATGGGAAACAAGACCTGCTTAGCGTCGCCACCGTGGACTTTGAACGACATCCTGTGTCCAGTAAGATCTCGTGTCCAGCCACTTGACGCCCACTGTGCGAGAAAGGAAAAGTAAAGGCGTACCGGCTGAAAGATCTAAATTAGGCTTGGGCTTTCATTCCAATCGGTAAAATAACTGTTGAGGCGTCGACTTACAGTGGACAAGATCATAATATTAACAGTTAATGATAATACATATGTGTATCCATACAAATTATGCAGAGATAACAAGCAAATGCCCTAAGCTTTTCCGACTTATAGCAAAGATGTAGTGAAGAAGTTGAAAAAAGAAGATGGCCGATGGCGAATATCGCGGGGTCCCCGGACAGACCCATTGTGAGAATCCGGGGATAAGACGGGGAAAAGATTCCAATAACATCCTGGTCTCTCATCTCCCAATTTTAGATAAATATGGCCATTGCGATATACTTTGTACTTTGAAGGACTTTCCCGATGAGTCGAAATGAGGATCGACGTCTCGAGGATCGGGCATTCTATCGTATAGATGCGTATAAGCGGGAATTGCCACCTAGCCTCGGCTCACATGGAAGTCTCAATGGAAGATAATTATTTGCTTGAAAAGTCCAAGTTACTCGTCTCTGAGAATGGAATTTACAACCTTTAAACCTTTAAACTGGGAATACCCATATTTGTCATTCGTATCTCATTAAAACCTATTACAAACACCCCGTCCATGCAAGTTCGTTACGCCAATTCAAATCACTTTCCCGTATGTCCTCAGGATAACAATTCATCAATATGTGCTCGCTCATTTGTATTCTTCCCCTTCAAAAGAACCGCAAGGACTTCGATGGGCGGGTTGAGCTTCAGCAGATTAGCCCGTCTCCAGCGCTTGAGACGAGCAATTCCAACACAGGGCTAAAGAGAAAGACATTATGTTAGATGACTGTTTTTTTTTTTTATAGAGAACTCTCGGAGACCAAGAGGACATACCCCATATTGACTGGAAAGATCAAAATGCCGGAGAATCTTTTCCTCTACATCCATGCCTTGTTGGTGGGCTATTGAGTTGGAATTATCCTATTAGCCTCTTGACTCACACTAATTCTCTGTGCGACAAAATCGACTTACCTCTAGGAGCCTTCCGGGTCTGTTCTTGAGCCCGCCAGTATCGCCAGACATCCTGCTTGTTCAACTGCAATGCCCGCTTATCTTCTTCGGATCGGGGTGCTTGGTGTTCAGTTGCAGCCTGCTGGCGCACCGCTAGCTCTGCGACATGGGGCTTGGAGGGTTCATTTGGAGTCACGGACAGCTGCTGGGGCTCCGGGGTGGCGGAGGCAGATTTGTCGGAGAGCGCTGGAGTTGAGTCGAGGGCCTTCGCTTTGTGGGATGGTGCGGCGACTGGTTTGGTCACTCGGCCCCCTCCGAAGGACAGTGTCGACTGCGACCCAGGTTTATTTGCTACACGACGAGGCATAGTGATGTGGAATATAGTGGGTTGGCGTTAAGATCTGGGGAATCTAGAAATGTTGAAGAAGTTAGGTGGAGAAGGAGGCGATATCATGGTTGCACTGGCAACCAATCTTGGGAAAATCTGCTAAACGGAATTTAGTTTTCCGTGGTTCTAAATTGGGGGAATTCAACTATATAAATTTATACACTTATACATTCTATATATATATCTATATAAAAACTCATTTATTTAGTACCTATATATACTAATATATATAATATATATTGTTCTATAGATTTATCATGTGTGATGACGATGCTGATATTGGCATTGGAAACTGGGCTTACATTATCTACGCGATAACCATCACGTCTGGGTATATATATGTAGAGATCTGACAAGAGTTGATAGACCTTCCTATCTTGTTATTATAGTCTATTAGTCTATTAGTCTATTAGTTCATTTAATATAGAGAACCCTAAGAGAGCCCAATAAAAAATAAAAATAAAAAGAGGCTCAAGTCAATTGTGGCTGTTGGGGGCGGGCTCAGTTCACCTTTCCCCACCACAACCACTGTACCTTTTGGAAGCTCAGCTCCTTCACCTCTCCTATCTCGAACCTCTACACCTCTTAGACCTCTAGACCTCTAGACAACTTACACCTTTCGACCTCTTTTAGCCTCCGACATTCAAAGGATCTCCACTTCCACGCAGTTCTACCTAACCCACCGTCCAACCCTTATGAACCGTGCGAAAGGATCCCCTCGTCCACTCATATATTCCCCACAACTCAACCAACCTCCGCATGTCTATGGTGCAACAGGCACGGCTGACTCGAGATGGCCGCCTTTGTGCGCGTATCAGGCCCGGCAAATGGCAATTTTCTGATCGGATACCCAGGCATTTCTGCGACCATGGTAAGCGCCCTGCCGATACATGCGGCGAGCCCGTTTGGCCCCCTGCTCACACGGCCTCATTGACTGACTATCCAAGCCACGAATCGAGGGTAAAGTTGAAATCAGACCCTGCGTTGGTATTACAGCTCCGGTCAACGTCTCGCTCGTCACTATTTCCCTCCTCCGCCGCGAGACCATTCACCCTTCGGCCGACACTTTCACGAAGAAACGCCTGGCTCCACCACGAAAAGAGATTACCGACATCGTCGGCAAAGAGATGCTCCTATTTCGATGCCCCGCCGGCCGAGAGTACGAAGAAGTAATATCTATGGACCTCCCCTTCGTCCCTTTTTATTCCATTTGGTCGTGGGGGTCGTGATGCCTCTCGCCGTGTACCACCAGCTAGTATACAGCTCCCGAGTCGCACCGCCGAAACCTACTACGAGATGGTGGTGACAGTCCAACAAGGACAACAGCAGCAGCACAAATACACCTTCCCCGTCCCGATCGCGCGCTACGACACACTCTCCACATTCGGCATGTACAATCGTCCGGAGTCGGCGGAGCGCGTATCAGATCATCTGGTCACATTAGCCATCTCACTACCACGGTGGTCTTACGGTCCTCTCGATCCTGTCAGCGTCTATGTCAAACTGTCACCGAACGAGAGCTGGATGGGCAAGGCGCGTAAAGTGACCATCAGCAAGATCACCATCGGCATCGACGAAGAAATCATCTACAACCACGAAGGTGATGAGCCCCAGCGCAAAGTCAAGGTTCTAGCCAAGAAAACAGAAAACATCGGCGTTAAACTACCCCAATCGGGCTACTTAACAAATCTGGGCTTGGTATTCCCTGCCAAGGACCTCCGCGATGCAGAAGGAATCTTGCCAAGAAGTAGGGCGGCATTTCCAACGTACGGTGTGAGTGGCTTCACAACCACAGCAAGTCTATATAAAATCGAGTACTACCTCACAGTTCGAGTTCGTTTCCCCCTAGTTTCATAGTATATCATCCCCAAAACTCACACCCAGCAGGCCCATTTAACCTCAGCAAGAGACATTACCATCCGACAACCAATCGTGGTCTGCCCTCTCGATCACGCCGGCTGCAAAGAAGAAATGGAAGCGATCGAGCAAGCCGCACGAGACGCCGCCCACGTCAACCCGGACAACCCCATGCTGCCTCTTCCAGCAATTGTACGACCAAGCGACCACAACGCCCTCAGCCATCTAGGCGCCGCTATTGTCGGCAACCAGAAGAAACCCCTGATCGACTGAGATGGGAGACGATTCAACCCTTCACAGTAACAATGATGAAACTTATTTAATAAATCCCCCCTCCCCCTCCCTCCCCCTCCCTCCCCCATCTGGATACCGACGCTCCTTGGCGGTATCCCCACACACGGGGACCGACGGCTGCCGTTACTTTTGATGTCCCCGGCGGGTGCGGAGGCTGACGGCTCCTCTGCAATCACGCTATATCATGACATGCCTTACGATTGCATACATTTTGGAGTTGGTTGCATGGCATTCCTGGAAGCTTGGCTGTTCATCTCTGGGCAAAACGGGGATCATGGGGTGTTTGGGTTACCTGTTCAGAGATTTGGCCAGGGAAATCGAGTGTTGACTACCGTGTCTCCCTCGACTCATGGCCGGTGTCTTCCCGCTGCATATATGTGATTGGTCTTGTTTGGCCATTTGATGATTATTTAACCCGCACATTGGTTCATTCACGCATTTGTCTCAATTGTGATACAATTTGTATCCATGGACCCATGAATCTGTGGATCTATAGATTCAGGATTCAGGGATCATCTATTCTCGTGGCTATGTATATTCAAATGTTGTCATTTGGAATGTAAACACGGACCTATGAATGACTATATCGTGTTTCAGCGCCCACGTAACCTACCTAGGTAGTTACCTTCATTGCCGCCGACATAAATGACCCGTCTTCACTGCTCCTCCCCCATATTCTCCCACTTTTCTATTATTCTGCCTCTCTATCTTCTCTATCTTGCACTTATCGCCGCCCCTTTTCTCTTACTCTAGCCCGTACCGACTACTGCACATTTGCTTTTTCAGCCCTTTCATTTTTACCGGAGATGTCCCTTAATCTGATATCCATCATTAACCTAATCTCCAACACCAATCACGGTGAAGCACAAAATAAACGCTCAGTCGAGTAGTGTACATATACCAAACTCTTGAATCATTAATCCAACCATCACCATCCCACCGATGGGAGCAACTCCAAACAACAAAAAAATGGTCAATACAGTTGCAGAAACTTCATAAATCTGAAGCTCTTGAGTGGGGCTTTCCAAAATAACCTCAGGTTTGACATGTGCCCCATAAAAGATACCCACGATCAACCAAGACATAGTAAAACCTCTTTGTATCGAAGTGCTATCTTTCGCTTGGAATTTGGACAACCCACCAACAATAGCCAGTGGAACGGATCCCAAAAGCATCCCTGCGAGTGCCATAACGGTGTTCTGTCCGTTGCCCCCAGTACGAGCAGTAAGAGCAGTAATCTCGTCCTTTATATCCGGATCCAGGTCTCGCCTAAAAGATTCTAAAGGCCCGCCAGATGTTTCTGCACATGGTGCTTCTAGCGCTCTGAAGCATACTTCGGTGGCAAAGAAATCACTCCCAGGTTCACGCTCTGCATCATCCATACTTGGTGTTCGAACGAGAAAAATAGATGGATATTCCGCATTAAGAAGGGTTCCAATAATATTCATGATAGACATGAAAGCATATGGTGCAACCGTTAAACCAAAGGCAGCGTAGCCATACTGTTGGATTTGGTCTCCTCGGGTACGATAGAGAGTAACAGTGGCCCACAACGCCTGCAGCAAACTGACAAGCAGTTTCAGGATATTGTAGGAGGATAAAAAGATCTCTTTGCTCGACTTTCGTGGAGGAATAAGTTCAACTTTTGCATATGGGGGACAAATGCCAATACATAGTTGCTTGGAAGACGATGCTCGCCGTGAACTATGGTATCAGGTGATAAATATCGAGGATTGGGGGTCTGCCACCATTGCCTTGGAGAAACTCAGCATTTTCTTCAAATGATTAATATTTGGAAAAAGATATATCCTACCTTTGAGGTATTGAATTAGTTTCTTCCTCCCCTTCTTCTTCATTAGAGCTATCAGGATGAATGCTTCTCGGATTGGATTGCACAATCCCTAGTTCTATATCCCTCATATCCCCATCTTGTGGAAGTCGATCTGGAGGAGGTGTATCCCTCCCTTGATTATTTCGTGTAGGCCTGTTTGGTGGATGATCTGGGTTGGGCTTTTTTACCACCATGCACAAGGCCCCTGCACGAATAGCTTGCTGAATAGGATCCCCTGCGAAGATCGAGTGTCTGTATATTGCATTTAGAGCACGGAGAACTCCAGCTCCTGGTAGGAGAAGAGCAATAAATATGGTCGTTATCATTTCACGGGTGCTTTGACCGGGGCTACTAATGATTGTTGCTGCATGTGCGAAGTAGTTGGTGAGGTAGAAGATGACATAGTCGGTCCAGCTGGGTGGTGTGCAGAGTAGATTTGAGATCCCATGGTTTGTTGCTCCATTTGGAACCGTGATAGTAAGATTCTTCATCTGTTTTTTTCTGATTTCCAATGGTTTCATTATCAAAAGGACCGATTTTTAAATCTCGGGACTTCTAAGTAGTATTATGTTCCCCACTTTGAATGACGCTGGTCTACCCAATGTGATATATGTATGCCTGATCGACATCTAATGCCTTGTGTATTCCAAAATTGTCGTATATCGGCGTAACGAACACCGTTTAGCATAGATAATGAGAAGTTGGGAATGGCTTCCATAGTGGATACATAAACTATTTATTTTAACGACCCTATACAGAGTTGACTAGACAATATCTGCCAGGTGAGGCCTTCCCTTACCAAACCAGGAATTAGTATTAGTTACCTTAGGTATATTACTACTATTTTAAACGATACTACTCACTCTTACGTTCCATGGGTGGAAATTGGCTGTGCGCCAACTATCAACAGTCTCCTTCAGGTGCCATATCATCCACGCCATATGACAAACCTGCAAACACTCCATTGAACCGAATGGTAAAATCAAACAGGCCTTTTGGGATATTATGGATTAGATCCCCAATAAGCCGTAGTTCTGGTCGAAGGTGTGCAGGCTGGGAGAGTCGTACTCGAAGGCTTTTGGCGGATCCATCGATTTTGATAGCGCACGTTCTTCTATCAGTCCGGCGACCCAGTCTGTTAATCCCACCGGCTGTGAGGCGAGTGGTTTTCGGGTCCTTCTCGAGACAGGCGGCACAAGTAAATGAGATCTAGAGTTGGGTGTGTACAAAGGGGAGTGGCCTCCCTTTAAGACTGCGGATAGGAGCGTCTGGGATGTTTGCAATGTTTGACATTTAGGATCGCGGTCGACTCACCGCCTTCGCAGTGTTGTCGTCGGATGCACGCCGGGAAAGGCTCCAGACCAAGCTGACGATGATCTGATATGTTGTGATGTAGGGGCTGAAGAGTAGGGCAGCAAGAGGGAATTCCAACCGAATCAAAAAAAAAGGGTGAATGTGGACATATGTTGTGATGGACACCTGATTGATCAGGCCTTGTTGTTAGGCTGTCACCCCACCTAAGTGCTCCGTTTGTAGGAATCAACCTTTCTTCTTCTCTCTCTCTCTCTCTCTCTCTCTCGCTGGTCCTCATTACCTCCATCAACATACAACAGTGGGTATTCGCTGGTGGTCACCCACCCAACTACTAATCCACCGATCTCAAGGTTATGTATGGCAGAGCGGACGGGATGCCTTGAGTCTATGGTCGTATGTGGGAAGACATGGTTGCATTTATGGTCTTGAAGCCGATGGGTGCACGCTTCTTCAATCACTACTTCTGCGCAGCCCAAAACAACACTTTATTTCTTTTCTGCATCCTCACTAGATTTCTGATTATAGATTCTACAGTGATGGACACTAGCATTGATCCACTACGAGCAAAAAAGAAGCCGATCCGGCCAAACATGGTAATTGTTGATTCCGTTCCCACGGCTCTGCGACTGGTGTAATGACTGTACTGGGCTAGCGTTCCATGCTACCATATTTCCCCCAATAGACTAACTGTATTCAAATGACTTCTCAGAGTCCACCAGGAAGTTCACATGCTTGTTCCTCTCACCATGTGTTGAATTGATTGATATCAAAGTTCTCCCACAATAGCCTTCCATACTCAAGTTCCCGGGCAACTTTTCCCTCACTATTCCACCAGATCGTAGATAGCATGATCATACCCGAGGAATCGCCCTTCTTTATTCCGGGAGGAAGGTTGGGCTTGGCTTCCTCGGGAGGATCAATCTTCAATGTGAACCATACCACGTTCTCCATGACCGCAAACGAGCCGGGCTCGGAACTGCCGTGGAGCGAAATGGCCTCAACTGAGATATTCGTCATAAGACCGCCAAATCCCTTGTTCTGTTCGAACCAAATCTTCTTAGGTGATCTAACAATACCGAGGGCTATATGAAAATAAAGTGTTAGAATGGTAATTGAGAAGGGAGAAGGGAAATTAGCTCTTACGGATGTCGGACATGCGATAATCATCAGCTACTATGCTGTTCATTTTTTCGGCATCGGCATTGCCGAAAGCTTCGAAGTACTCAGAAATGCGCGCCAGCAATACCTTGTCCTCATGGTGTCGGATGCGGCTATTGTCAAATGCGGACGTGGTCGGAGCCATGTTGTTATGATATGTGATTTCGGTGGTTTATTTGTCGCAGTATGTGTTGCAAAATGATTCTGGTTGCTGAAGAGTTGGGCGAGAAATCGAAGCCGTATTTATAGTTTTATTTCTCAATTCGAGTAAATGGTAGATCAAAGGGTCCTCAAGTCCTCCAGTCCCCGGCTCTATGAGCTATCACAAAGTGGTGGGGTCACCTACATTGTGCCCCGCCGCGCAGTGTGTCACACTTCAGCTTCAAGCTGCAAACGCCACTTGGGCTTGCCGGATTTGGGTGGAATTAAGTCATTGCCAGTTAACAAGTAATGTATTTACTCCATGTCCTTGCGATTGCTGTGCAAGAAGGCTGCCGTGCTGAGACATTCAATGGCCTTGGCATGCATGCATAACCATGCTAAGGCAAGATATTCCGACTCATAAAACATCAAGAGAACATTACCCGAGGAGCATGCGTGTCGTGTCACACTTCAGCTTCAAACACCCACCGATTCTGAAGGCAGTTGCTTTGAGCATAGCCCTCTCTCATTACAAGCCAACTAATCGTATGCATCATGACGCAGTCTGGTGGTCTCGGAGTCTCCTGGTCTAACGCAACGCCAGATATTCTCTATACGTGATGATTTGGGAATACATTGAATCGGCAAATGATGCAGATTAATGTCGAGTTACAATTCTATAAAGAAATAAAAAGACAAAAAACATACAGTGGGTATTCGCTGGTCGTCACCCTCTCGGTGCGGGGGCGACCATAGCTCACAGAGAACTAGGCATCCCGTCCGCTCTGCCATATCACCACCAAAACCATCCCCTGTTGTCAGCCTTTCTCTTCCCTGTTCCCCGACTCAAAGTCCATTACTGCTTCTACCTGCACGACCTCATAGCCCACAGTTCCCCACTTGTGACGGCCATTGAACCGGGCTAAGAGCGCTTAAAAACGCGAAACGGTTGGTCGATTCCGAAGTCTGCTTCGGGCCTCTCGAAAGGCTAGATCCTATGTCTTCAATCACCACAGCGGCTTCATGGGTACGAGAGATGGCTGGCTAGTTTCGGTGCTTTACTATATAGCCTATTCTCGTTCGAAAATCTGTCCCGATGTCCAGAGGACACGTAACCTCTGCCTGACACCGGAACCTCGCAACCAATAGTATAAGAAGCGCGAAAACGTTTGACTGTTATCCAAATACTGTGGTGCCATCACTTAGCATAGGCTCACCCCAAATTAGTACTCCGAGAGTCCGAGTGGATTTAACTAAGATTCTAAATATAAAAGAGAGAAGAAGAAGAAGGAGGGAAGTTCTCTTAACCTACTACCTAAAGAACCTTCTGACTGATTAGGGTTCCCGAAGTGGGTCCTGCCCTAGATCTACTCCGTAGTGACTTAGCCGAATCTCTATTCTATCATTTAATAATTCGACTGGCCTTCCTACTAACTAACGCTAGCTCCTAGATCGTCATATATTATATCATAAAGGACAAACGTTTTCCTACGGTTAAGGCTACCGCGAGTAAAGGAAGGCGGAATTATAGGAAGACTATTCGGTCGGACAAAGCTAGATACTCGGTATGTGTTGGTCAAGGCGAATTCGAGAATGCCTGTACCTTCTTACGAATACAATAGTTAAGTGATCATGTGGATGCGTTTGTGGGAGATCTAGCCAATAGAGAGAACAAAACTGGGGATATCTACCTTGGTATACACAAGCATGTTCCTGGGGCCAGTTACGGTGTTTCTGCGGACGACCCGATGGCTTCGGATCTTGAACCATCAGACGCTGGTGGGTATTAAGCTTTAGTTCGGATCAATCAGTGATTCCCTCCATCTGAACCCTGCGAAGCAATCACACGCTAGTGCGCCCCGATCCGCTTCCGCTGCGGCAATTATGTGACGAAAACGCACTATCTAACTCGTCTACACTAACCCGAAATGCGAATATTCCACGAAAATCTTCTGCAGGAAAGACAAAAAAAAAAAAAAAAATAGACAGGGCGGGCACCACGCATCACTCACGCAGCCATCCCCCGTTTATGTGTCCAAATCACCTCCCTCGCTCCGTTCCTACCCGATCTAGTGTGGTGTGGATTCGCACGAGGCAGATCTTGCAGTGTTCGCCGGGCATGCAACACCAGTTGCCTTCAATCGATCCACTTGATATGCAAGTATCGCATCGCTGGCAAATTGATGACCAATAATGGAAATATGTACCCCTCTAAGCCACACTGTATTACTATTAGCCTAAAGCCAGTCTGTTATTGGTTTAATCCACAGAAATCCCTGTAGTATTACATCATAGAAAAGATGCCCAGTACCGGGGGAAACGAGTCCAAGATATCTTTTCCTTATCGCCGGTCTAAGAGACTATTGTAGGCGGAATGCTATACGGCCAAATCAATTTCGGATAACTCATATTTTGTTTTATCAATCCAGACGTGCAATAATAAGGTCAAGTCGATAAAAATAGAGCTGAAAGCATAATAACTAAGACTTGTTTAGCTTATATAAGTATGGAGATCCCATTTTCATTGCGTTGATTACACTGGAGGCATTGTAAGACTGTGAACTACTGTTGTATACCGTTGAATTGAGTACCAGCGCCATTATTATTATTCTAAGACCGTAGACCGACATTTGTATTTATCGAGCCTTAGTTACCTAGTATTATGAAATGTGTAGCTCGAGCTACTTCCTATTGAGAGCGAATTAATATTCCGTATTCAGCTTTAGCTCCAAAGGGCTCATTATAGACATACCTCAGCTATGATTTCTAGTTATCTCTGAAGTTCTCCACCTAATCGTTTGTATCCATTTTCCGACGACGATCCGAATTTCACCATATTGCTATGGCTGGCATGAATACTAATGGAATTATAGCCGTCGAGAGTTACCGATTCCTTAAGAAACCACTT